CTACCCTGTCAGTGTTAACTGAAGGATTTGGATTAACGATTTAATGATATAGGACTGTTCTTTCCGCCTTCATCTTCGGCTTGTTTTTTAAACAAATAATTTTGAAGTGTAAAAGGACCATTTTATGTGGCCTATTCGCAAAAATGAATTCATTGTTTCATTGTGTTTATCAGTTAAAAACCTCAACATTAGCTTCTGTCCTGCGGTTTCAATGTGGTAATAGATCGGCAAACGAGCAGACGGATTACCTGATGATAAGCAATCAGCGCCGCCCATGGACACCCGCAACGGAGGAGTTACGAGTGTGTTGCCAACCTCTTAGGGAAGGATTGGGCCTCCGGTAACCTCACTCACACGGCGAAACACAACGCTGTGGTTGTTTCACTACGGTTTTCTGTGAGGCCGTGGTATTACTCCGGACGAGCCGACCCATTCGTGCCAAAGCATGGCTCTCCCACACTACGTAAAATGAGAGGCACACAAGAAATTGCTATGCTTAAAATTAGGACGACAATATAAAACCAAAAAAGTATTAATATCAAAAACACAGGTCACTTTGTAATCTCTATGTATTAAATTGCCGTATTGATATAGTTTAACTATACATAGTATGTTGACGCCCTCATTATGTGGCTGCCCTAATTACATCAGATCGAACTGATGAGAGCATTCACTTCATATTAATCGCTTACGAATCAATACATGTAGTAACCTATGTTTGAAACGCAATTATTTGAACTTTTATGGTATCCTTAATTATCTATTTACATATACTTAGTCGGGTCATAAGTTCTGTCACAAACTTTTGATGTAATAACTTATACGCCTTTTGACAATTATTTAAAAATTATATATGAAATGAAAGGTCATTAAATGTACAATATAATTTTATTTACATTATTCGAAATGCCCTCCCCCATTTTGAACACATGCCCTTAATCTACGCGGCCAGTCATCGATCGCTGCACGCACCACATTCATATCTATGTCTGCCGCTGCTTTAACCAGAGATGCTCGGAGAGACTCCAAATTCGGGTGAGGTTTAGCACAGACTTTTTCCTCCAAATATTGCCATATCTTGTAGTCCAGTGGGTTTAAATCTGGACTAGAAGAGGGCCAGTCTTCATGCCGGATGAAGTCAATTCCACGAGCGATCAACCAGTCTTGCGTACTTCGTGCCTTATGAGCCGGTGCAGAGTCCTGTTGGAATATCCAATGCCTGTTCCTGAACATTGTCTGAGAAAGAGGTTCCACTATGTTTGTTAGGACAGTATTTTGATAAACTTCGGCACTAGTTCTCACACCTTTTTCACAGAAAAACACCTCAGTTACGCCTGAATATGAGACTCCAAGCCAAACCATGAATGAGGAAGGGTAATGCCCACGCTGGACCCTCGCAATACGCGCGCTTGCTTCTTCACTGCTGTGGGCATACACCTTATCATTTTGTTTGTTAAAACTTTCTTCAATAGTAAAAATTTTTTCATCCGAAAAAAGAATTTCGCGGTATTTTTTTCCCGCGTACCGTCGTAGCAAAGCGCGGGATCTGTCTAGCCTAATTTTTTTTAAACGCTCGTTCAAAAAATGTCCTGTCTTTTTACGATAAGCTCGTAGTCCCAGGTCTTCATTTAGTACTCTTTTAACAGTGGTTCTGCTTAGCCCCATCTGCAGAGCTAGGATTTTTTGTTTACGTACGGGATTTCGTTCGATTCGCGCCTTCACTGCTTTGATGACCTTATGTGTCCGAACTGTGCGAGGTCGGCCGCTTCTCTTACGATCTTCGAAGCTTGACTCTTCGGTGTATCGTTTGATAGTACGATAAACAAACCGTAACGTTATTTTCAAATTTTGAAGAATATTGAAAATGTCTTTTGGCGCGTAACCACAGCGGTGCAACGCGATAACCGCGATTCTGTCTTCTTTATTCGACCACTCCATATTTAAAAATGAATAAAAAATAATTTCTTTTTTATTTTCTACAAGCGCGAAAGTTCTATTTTTAAAATAAGTCGAAGAATTTCTGGCCAGTAATCGAAAATTAAAAATATAAGGTTTTGACAGAACTTATGACCCGACTAAGTATAAAAAAATCAATGCCACTATTCGTCAACAATGTCTTTACCGCTTTGGCTAATTTTGGTCTTGAATTATTCGTGGAAGTCCAGAGAAGGTTAAAAGGTCAGAAAACTAAGTTAATTTTGAGGTGGAACGAAGTTTGCCAGGTCAGCTAGTACAAAAATGAAAGATAAGTATTTTTTAAAAATACTTATCTTTCATCATCATCTTCAGTCTGTAAAATTGTCCCTTCTCATACGGAGAAGGAATAAACATTAAATAGTTATTACTGAACGAAAGATATGATAAGTATGAAATGGTTATTTAGACACCACTAGCATATGGTGAAGGAAAACATCGTGAGGAATCCTGGACTTATGATTTCTTAATTATAAGTTTGAAATCGCTAATCCGCTTTGAGTAAGCGTGGCGATTAATGCTCAAACAGCTCAAACCTTCTCCGTGTGAGAAAAGGCCTTTGCTCAGCAGTGGGCACTCATAGGCTAATGATGTGTTTGAACGAAAGTGCTACTTTTTGCTTATTTAATATTGATTGATAATGATGTCTCAACAATCATTTTATCTAATAGGATATCTCAATAAAAATACTTTCTAATTAAGTTTCGTTGCGATAAACTAAGTACAGTCAGAATTAACAAAAAGTTTTTGTGACCTATGCAGGTTCAGTAAAGAGACAGTAGATTCTTAAATTTAATTGTATCTTTTTTAATAAATCCATATCTATGTATAAGTATTTTGTAACAATTTGCATTCACTAGCAACTGGTAGTCCGAGGTCAATGAATTGGTCACTGTTTCTAAATACTCGAACCTGTCTGATATGGGATCTAATGCGATTAGTTTTGACGAAAGTGGAATATAATTTCTTATCCGAACAAATTTTTAACAAGAAGTCAAAGTCAATAATGTTTTTGTTTGTTTGTTTGAACGCGCTAATCTCCCAAACTACTGGTTCGAATTTAACTACCCTGTCAGTGTTAGTTAACTGAAGGATTTGGATTAACGATTTAATGAAATAGGACTATTATTGCCGGCTTCATATTCGGCTTGTTTTTAAACAAATAATTTTGACGTGTAAAAGCGCCATTTTATGTGGCCTATTTGCAAAAATAAATACATTGTTTCATTGTGTTTATCAGTTAAAAAAACCTCAAAACTAGCTTTTTGTTAGTTAGTCCATTTATAAAACATCACGCTACGATTTATGTCCGATCCGAGTAGCGGGTGATACCGCATTACAGTAGCTAGTCGCTAATAAACGTAATACAATTTATAATCCAAACAATTAAGCAACCGTATAATCAAACAAATAAAGTACATAATGTAATCAAATGTCTCTATGCAATAAGGAACTTTGAAGTTACTCACATCAAATGACCTATTGACCGACCGTTATCGTTGTGAACTAAGTAAGAGACCAAGACGTGATATATGCCACTCATATAAACATAATATAGATAGTAATATGCATTATAATACACGTTTTAATGTTTTTGTTCAAACCATATAAATAGAACAATGAGATGATAAAAAAGTAGTTATTTTAAAACAGAGGTTTTTGGTAATATGATAGATGAGCCGAATGGTTCTGAATTGCGTTTTTGCCCTTTTGGGGGTTTTTAGCAGTTTGAGGCCAATCCTCAGGACTTGTTGATTGCGAGCAAGCAGGGAAAAGACTGGGTTTACAGTAACCTGAATCACCGATTGCGTACCGATTTTTTGTGATTATCGAGTGATTTCTGCATCATCATTAGGTATCACCATCATCAGCCATTTTTTAGGTGATAATTGCTTAAATAACGAAAAGTAAGCGTTAACTGGCCTAATTGAGGATGAGCTACAATATTTTATTTGGATTTACTGAATAATATCATGTTATGTATATCATGTTCTCGTGTATATTATGACGGAAATAACACAACTCTCATTAAAGTTTTCAGAAGCATTTAAGCTTCCGAACTTCCATTTGACCTACTTACCAAGTCTGGCTTATCAAGTATGCCTAATATTAATATTCAACCATACCTTATGCCTATATATGTAAACCTATATATATGTATAGATAGGTCTCGTCAGTGTGCATGTATAGGCAAACTAATGTTAATATTAATTTGAAATAGGCCCAATTTATCCAAGAAATATTTTCTTCGTTACTTAGTGCTTAAATGTTATTAGTCAGAATCTCTAACTAAATTTGACACAAGCTACTAGATTAAAAGTGCTCACTGCGTTTTTTTCTAAGTATGAAAATTTTTATTAGAACTGGTGTTTAATGATTTTAAATCTCTTCAAAAGGTTAAAACCTTGAATAAGCCACGAAATTATTTTCTCCTGTATTGTTGTTGCGTTAAGAAACATACAAATTCACTTGCACATCACACCCGGATCCAAAACAACAATTTGTGGATCACTCCAATGGTCAGCTACTGCGCCAGCCAAGCAATCAGTTCGTATGGTTTTCTAGGGACTTAGCAATAATACTAATAATAATGGGCCGATGGAACACAAATAAAATAAAATAATGAAAAAGTGAATATAAACCTCTGGGAAAAAAAGTCTCGAAATCCTTTAAAATCAAAGGGTTTAAGTTGCACTTCGAATCTGTGTAAAAAGTTCAAGTAATGAACTCCGTAACTATGTCTCATATGGGTAAAAATAAATACCTATAGCGAAACAACAACATTCCTACAATAAGATAATAGTATGACCTTCATAAAGGTCAGTGGGTCACAAACCCGTTTGATCCTGTTCCTGTTTTCTAAACTTCAGTCTGTCATATCATTCGTTACATAACAGTATGTTAATTAGTTGTATACTTAGGCACATATGCTAATTAATGCTCACATGATTTGCTAAAATCGCCACATTCATTATCTCCGACTGGTTTTGACGAGAATTTAAATAAATGCCGAAATTGTATCTAGCATGGACAAGAGGTGTGTATCAAATGAATAATGTTGAATATTGTTATTCTGAATCAGTTTGCGTCAATATTATTCTATTTCTAACGGTTTATAAGTCTTTTTACAACGAGCAATGTTAATTGTTGCGTAATTCATCAAACCCCAAGCGCACGCTGGCCTTCGCAGACCAATTGTTCTTTTAAAGTGTCTCGACTTATCTCGATGTTAAAAAAGGAAAGGTTTTTTTACTTCGTTACAGTTTTACTTTAAATACAATATTTAAATTCAATTTTGAGGATATAAGCGCTACGGTGTACTGCGGCCTGGCTCGGCGCTGGAGTAATATCTGGGTGGTTTTTAGTTCTGTAGGAGTTTGAAACTTCTGATATTTTGTCCTCACTTTCCTCCTCCTCCATCCTCACAGTTATTTCATAAAAATAAATGAGCTTTCTTTCTTGTTCAATTGAGTCAAAGGCTTGAGTAAAAACTAAAAAATAGGTGACCAAATGTCCTTGTGGGACCCCAACGGAACGTTTCTTTCACATGCTCTTTGCACATAATCACTCCTTTGACCGCGCACAAAAGAGGTCTGGGAACATTGTGTACTTCTGTATATTCACATTTACATCTACATACTCTGTTTTAGAATTCATTCTTTTGAATGAACTGTTTTGTGTGATTTTTTTATAAATAAAAACCAGTTTTTAGCTGGTCAACATAAGATTCACTTTTAAAACTGGGCCTCTTTTTGGTATGATGGTTTTAGGTTCACTTTTTAGTTACCAGTTCTCTTCTATGTTAACTTCTATTGAGAATAAAAGTAAGATCTACAAAACATTTATCATTTATTATACTACGGTTCCTTAATCCAATAATATCAAGTGCCCACCATAAATTGTATTCATAATTTTCACAATGGTCTCAATCGAATTACTTGTGTCCGGAGCACTTTTGCAAATTTAGAGGAAGCGTTTTACAACTTGGCTAGACGGTTGCCTTGAAATTGATTTTGATAGTCAAACCTTGACTTTTATCGATGAAGATTGCTATTACCATTTTAATGAAGACTGTTAAATGTTTAGTGATTGTCACAAACAATAAAACCAAGTTAAGTGGATACTGATAAAAATATAAAACCTCGTTTGGCATATCACGACTTACAACGTAATCTTTTTGACTGTCAGAAGTTTGAAAGTGTGACATTGGATCAATATCACTTGATTTGTTAAGTCTTTGGCAATTGGGTAGAATTCTACTATCATTCCACCAGTCTTCGTCAGTTCAATTTATTTTATTGTCCTTAGTGCTTCTGTGACGTGGATGCGTAAGTTTACTAATATACAGATTTCACATACCTACGCGTCACATAACGAAAAGAGTTGTTCCGTCAGGGGATCAAACCCGCGGCTGCGATACCCACCACCTGGCTGCCCAGCCACCACACCATCTGCGCAGTTTAAGAAGGTCTTTAAAAAGGCTTGATACTTTAATTCTACAGAAGTCCACTTAAAACTCGATTCTAGAATCAGATTCTGAGATAAATGATGAATTTATTTAGAAAAATAGAAAATTGGTTAACAATTAATAGATTAAAACTAGTAATTTAAACCCACTCTTTATTAACTTATAAAGTTTATTAACCAGTTGGTATCCTATTCTGGTATTTTCATTAACACTGCCTAATCTAAATGGGTTGTTAATTTATATTGAGATCGTGTGGGCTTTATTAGGGTTGACACATAATTACCGAGCGTTCACCCTTAATGAATGACCTAGATTAGAGCTACAGCTGACGTGCAAAATCTAACATACGTAGGTAGGTTACATAGCTTCCCATTTATGTTGATAGGAACGAAAAAGAAGGCTAGGGAGCAAATATTGAGAAGTAAAAATACAAAAGCGAAAAAAAGAGCTTGTGATATACGAGATAAAGTCAAAATGGAACCAAAGGCAAACCATAACCATAAAACCTAATAGCACTTCACTGACCTCGATCACTGTATTCAAGTACAACTCACTGTACGGACCTTGTCTCCTAAACATAGCTGGATGGAAAAAGCTCATAATGCTATGTTCCTCTAGTTCTTAGCATACTTCTATCCTTTAAATCTTCTTAATCTTCGTGCTGCGGATCGAAAGTCTCCCACGACATTTTTTGCCAGTCTCTTTCTTTTGTGACTCACTACTAAAGTAAAGCCAAAAAGAAGAAAATGTTTGCTACAAGTTACGGGAACAGACGACAACCACTCATATAATGACAAACACAGGTCGTAGACTATTTCTGGTCATGAAATTGCTCTTGAAGAGTGAACACGTAACAATAGCTATTACGTTGTATTATCCAATCAGTTGCAGAGTGCCGGGTCACTGAACTTTGTAGCGTTTATCATTGGACTCATTCCTATTGTGAAATGAGGAACTTTATTCAAAAGAAGTTCGCCTATCACAACTTTTATTTCGGTGCCATAAGCAACTGAGAATTATTTGATCACTTTAAAAAGAACACGTGACTTTGTGTTCAAAAGTTACATAAAGAGTCACTCAATAAATATTATGATGATACACAAAATTCATCGAACATGTCAAAACAACACCTAAACTAGAATAAAAACGAGACTGCAAATGTCAAGGACTTTTGATTTCTAAAACTTACCGTTAGGTATCGGATATCTTACAATCTACATTGTATATTTATGAGAAAACAATATATAATAATCTGTATTAAATACTAGGTCCTAGTATTTATTGCACACAAATCAAAAATATATAAATTAAAAAGAAGATCCGGTCCAGATCCAGTCTTAGTTATAGCCAATAAACCTTATGACAAGTTTTTACCCTAATTATAATAATGTGACAATTTTGAAATACTCATCTACTTGCTTACAAACTATCTTTTGCATTTGGATCACAAAAAGGAATTCCTATGGCGTTAGACATTATCCCATTACTTACTTAATTTACTTTGTTATAGAAATATATTAGAAGACGCACTTAATTCGTTAGCAAGTTCTAAAACCTGCAAAACATTTCAAATTTTATTCTTCTTTACAGGTCTCCAAAAAGTAAAGAAGAATGCGAGACCGAAGCCCTAAAATCGGATGTGGAGGGGGACCCGGAGGCGAAAGAGGGTGGTGCAGGAGCCCTAGAAGCAAAGATGTCTCTTATGAATGGTATTACAGTTATCGTGGGTTCAATCATTGGAAGTGGTATCTTCGTGTCACCAACTGGTGTCCTAAAATATACTGGATCTGTTAATGCCAGTTTACTAGTATGGATTGCATCTGGAGTTTTCAGTATGGTAAGTATCCAGACCACTTTATTTTTGATAGTCCAATTAGACCTCACGGCTGACTAATAAAGTGGGTGCTATGCAACGTGTTGCAGGTTTGATGCCGTACAGTATAACCCTTTGTAGGATTTACAAATTGTTGTTTCGGGTCTGGGTAGTGATGTATATGGGAAACTGCATGTTTTTAGAGCACCCATGAGACAGGAGAGGATCCTATTGAGCTGCAACGTTATTTAAAAAAGATATATTAAGACATATAAATCATATAAATTTTTCTTGTGGGCTGTGTCGTTATCACTATAATATAATCTTAAGATAAAACTACACCAGTAAAATAAGCTCTACTTAACAGAATATCTATTAAGGTTATCTAACTTAGGGAAACCATTCTTAAAATATTTCCAACGTACGCAAAAATAGACTTAGCTAGATTACAACCAGTTATTTACACAAAATCAGAAATCATTTTATATTTTCAAATATTTACTTTTCCTGGCGGATAATTGTAGCTACTTTTGAAATTATTAACTTCCTAATGATTAATTGGTTCAACAAAAGCTTTAGACGGAATTTATGAACGGAGTACCTCAGGGGACTTATTGGGACCTACTTATTTTAAAACCAGTATAATGAGGCAATTGGAGTGAGCTAGCAACAAGAAATATGCCATTCTCTGAGGAGCTTATTAAATATCTTGCTATACCGCGGCTTATTTATTAAAAAGTCTTTCAACTTAAAATATATAGTATCTAGCAAATATAAATTTTCGATCTATTTCATTCTTATAGAAAGTTCTCTAAATAATTACAATACTCTAAGAACAGTATATAATGACTGCACGGTTGGTGCATTGACTGAGCAAGTGGCTGCTGTGCAACGTGTCGCAGATTCGATTCCCGCACGGTTCGGTTCGTACGGCACGATTCGGGTCTGGGTGGCTTGTGTATGTGAATTTATATGTTCGACCCAGGTGAAAGTCCTAATGTAAGGCAACGTTTTTAATAAGAATAAAAATATATTTGTATACTTATAATAAAAATATATTATTTCAAACGTTTTTGCTATCAAAACAAACCGATGATGTGCGACATTCACCACGTGTGTCATATAAAATAAAATCACGTACACTGTTATCATATAAACATGAAGCTATCTATCACATGGCGGACAGCAGAACAGATAGTGGATCTATCAGGGGTAGTGAACTGAGTAATGAGGATAAAATAGAACTTTATTTCATTCTTAATGACGTTGTTGGAGATTTTCATCGTGATAAGTCATAAGGTTCAAGAGCATACCTAAAGGATTATGCAAATGAAATTATAGGTACCACATTCTGTTGCATAGGTATATAGGGTTTCATATTGAAGAGAAATTATTTACCTTTGTTTAAATTTGCACTGGGCTGTTTTTTTTTTCAAATTTCAGATGAATGTAATAATAATAAGGAATAAAATTGTTGCAGTCGCTGTCTTATACAGACAGCATCATAATTGTCCCGCAGATAACTTTTATCTAACCATTGAAAAGTCAGGCCAAATAATAAAAAAGGGAATATCTTTGTCAGTAGCTCCTGTGTTACTTGAACTTGGCTTAACACTCCCTTGCATTATACGCAAGAGCTAGATAAGCTTTATTGATCAAAAGACCGCTAGAGTCTGACACTCCCTCCCGCCCGACCCTGAGCGGGAGAAGTGATTTGATGATTTTCCTTTCACAAAAAAAGACCGCTAGAGATACTGTTAAAACGTCAGGAAAACTTATTTGTCTTTTCAATATTAGGTTTTTGTTTTTTTTTATGGTAGAAGTCGGCAAAAAAGCAAACGGATTACCTGATGGAAAGCAGTCGGCACCGCCCATGAACACCCACATTTTGGGGATAAGGGTTTCGGATATTTAAGAAAGAGATGGGGGAGGGGCAGGGATTCGGCCTCTAATCAACTCACTGACACGGCGAAACACATCACTGTGGTTGTTTTACGCCCGTTTTCTGTGAGGCCATAGCACTCTGGTTGAGCCCAATTCGAGCCGAAGCTTGGCACACTTAAAATGAAATATTTTTGTAATTACTCCTTATTTTTTTTTCGATTGTCTAACTTATTATTGGTATTTGGATTTTTAAGTCGGCCAAAGCACTAACGTGTCTTCAGGGGCCCGAGTCTAGCCGGGGCTGCGGGGTAAGCGCAATGAGGCACCGCGACCTCGGCCCAGAGCAGGAGAAGGAACGGGGGGTTTTTAGTCAGTAAGAGTCTGACACTCTCTCTCGCCTTACCCTGGGCGGGAGAAGTCATTGGATGATTTTCCCGTGACAAAAAATAGGGGAAGAATACAGAATTCCATTGTCATTTTGCTAAAAGTTCGTAATCTGTTAATTCAAAATGACTGATCATTGGCGTTCGGCGATGTCGTAATATAATTATAGTACGAGATGTCTTGTAACGAATTATAAACAATAACTGCATATTAATAATCTAAACGTAAATCATTGAATAAAGGAACTGAGTTTTTTTTTATTAATTTACCGCATTATGTCAAATATTCATTTGTCATTATGTTCGAGATTACCGTTCTAAATAATTATTTCAATGAAGTGGCATTGGGAGGTCGTAATGATGCTGTCGTGTTAGTAGATTACCAAAACTTGTCAAAATCAACAATTTTGCAACCAATGATCTACTATTCTGACACTATTATAATAGCAGACTGGAGAGGCCCTGTTCACTTTTTTGCATTTTAAAGTTTGGTATGGAGGTTGGAGATCTCTGGTGCGCTTCGATAACGTTATGACGTTAACACTGTGTTTAAAATAACAGCTACAAAACTTATGTAATAATTATATTACAATCATGTGACCCTCGTTGTAAATACTCTTATCTATTTGTTACTATAAGAATTAAAACTAGGCGCCATTTATATTATAACATACATAGTTTAAGTAAACATAAGTACTATCCGATTTATATATGGTTTGGATTAAAAATAATTAAAACAAAAAACGATGCGCTTAATACCTACTATGATCTTTGTGAGAGCGATGTGCATTAAAAACAAGTGTGGGAGAGCCATGCTTCGGCACGAATAGGTCGGTTCGATCGGAGTGATACCACGGCCTCATAGAAAACCGACGTGAAACGCCCACAGCAATGTGTTTCGCCTTGAGAGTGAGGTTACCGTAGGCCCAATCCTTTACCCTCCCCCTATCTTGTAAACATCGCAGCGATTTCAATTTAGTTTTTTTTTTTGTATTAAAGGTGACTTACGTGCAAGTGTTCTTAGAAATCTTTGATGAAAATCGGTTGAGCCGTTTAGAAGTTACGGGGGTGTAAGTGGGGAAGGGTAACCGCGAAGGTCTGCAAATTAAAAGTCAAAATTCAAAAATCATTTATTCCAATTAGACCTTTAGAGGCACTTTTGAACGTTAAACAAAAATTTTGAAGTTATAGTGTCAGTCTGTCGGTCAGTCCTCTTAGTGAAGCTATTTGCTCGTTGCAAAGTGTAGATTCCGATGGAGAAGAACGGGCAAGAAACTCCATCATAAAATATACTTGAGTGAGGTCTTAAATGAAAGCTCACTGAAAGGGAATGTTGATGACTTCATCGAGAGTGCTCTTAGCAATATAAAAAAAAAATGATATAAAATATCTAGGTATGAAAAAACTAAAAAAAATTAAATATTTAATTTGTTTTTAACATTTTAGACAACTTTTAGTAAATTATCTGAACCGATAGACCATAGTCAATTTTAGCCAGCGTATAATATCTTAACTGCCTTGATTATCACAATAACATTGTGGTTGCTGTACCGGAAGGATGCTACAACCACATAGCCTGTAGTTATTGTTACGCTACACAAAATTAAATTGTTATTCAAACCGTATCTACCAATACGATAGTTTTCAAGTAGTCAAAATCAATAATTTTATTGAAATTTCAAGAACAATATTATGCTATCAATTTGCATTTACCTAATCGCAATATATGGCGCCATATTTTTTTAACGTCAGCATGGGTCCACTTCGGCCCAGAGCAGGAGAAGGAGCAGGCTGGTTGTTAGTCAGTAAGAATCTGACCCTCCCTCCCGCCCGACCCTGGGCAGGAGAACTCATTTGATGATATTCCATTCACAAAAAAAAGCATGGTCCTGAAAATGTAGCTAGAAAAAAAATATATCGTCAAATCAAAGAAAGAAGAAGAAGAAGAAAGAAAGATAATTTATTTGTGAAACAAGCGTATACATGAAATAAGACATGCAAGGTATTATTAATTTAATAGTGTGTTGTGAGCGTCCATGTTTTGCCGATAAACGGCGTACAAATATTATATAGACATAAAACAGTAATTTAATTTCCATTTATATAATCAATTTTATTACACAATGCACAAGAAATAAATGTTAATTTATGTCAAGATAAGTATGAAGCATATGAGGCACATTAGTCAAAAATTAATTAAATTATGTCCAGTATATAGTATTTATTATGTCAAGATTTACCAATTCGTATTAAATTGTCATTCTTAACCAATTCTTAACTAGATGTCGGAAGAGAAAAATCGTTTTCATTCAAAAAATGTATAACACTATAGTACACTTTATTAGCTAAAAAAGTTTTAAGCTTATTTTTGAATAGTGATAATGGCAGTTCTCTCCAACTTTTGGGAATTTTATTATATATTATCGGAGCCATACAGAAAACACTTTTGCGCATAAGGGCTGTTCTCGCAGCATGAGAGCATATCTTACTGTTGTCGCGCCTGTTACGTGGGACTATCTCATGTAATAGTTTGAATCGGTGTGGATTTATTTTGACGAATACAGCTACCTCTAAAATGTACAGACATGGCAACGTAAGTATTCCGTATGTTTTAAAGTAAGGCACGCAACTGTCAGTAGGTTTAATTTTAAATATTGTACGAACGCATCTCTTTTGGGCTTTGAACACCGTGTCTTTGTCTGTTGAGTTGCCCCAAAATATGATACCGTAGCGTAGATGAGATTCTGTTAGACCATAGTAGGCTGTAAGCAATGCCTCTACACCTATTATATATGACAATGTGTGCAGGGCATAGGATGATTTACTGATTTTTTTGCATAGTGTTTCGATATGGGCTTTCCAATTCAGTTTTTTATCAATATGGAGCCCTAAAAATTTTGTTGCTTCTATCTCTTCTATGTGCTGGCCATCGTAATGTACTTTTAAATTACTCATACTATCAATAAATGAAAATCATGGTATATCCTACTACAATATTATAAATGTAAAAGATTTTGATAATGTATAGATATATGTTTGTTATTCTTTCATGCAAAAACGGCTGGACCGGTTTAATTGAAATTGTTATGTAGGTCAAAGGTAGTTTTTTCAAATCGATCGAGTAGTTACAGCGCCTATTCAATTCAAACAAACAAACAACCAATCAAATCTGTCTTCTTTATAATTTACTAGCTACGCTCACGCGGTTTTACCCGCTGCTCAGCTCCTATTTTATAGCCTTCCTCGATAAATTGACTAACAAACACAAAAAGAATTGTTCAATTCCTACCAGTAGTTCCGGAGAATAGCGCGTTCAAACAAACTAACAAACAAACCTCAGCTTTATAATATTATATAAGTATCAAGAAATATTATTTTATAATATATACATATATAATAGTATCTAGTAATATTAGTACCTATAGGTAATATTTTATTTCCTTATATTTTTTTATGTTCAATGATAACGCGAGAAACAAATGAATAGTTTTTGCATTGAATTGGTGACCATACCAAGCGCTAAACACTTTATGAAAAGCTTTTGCCAGACTCAAGAGATGTCTTGAGTCTTTTATTAACGGTTTGCCGGTTATTAAAACTTAAAAGAATCTGACACATGTCTGTTATCAAAGGAATAAGCAGAAAGATATGACACTTGACAAGTTGGTCCTGCGAGCCGCATCTGTCATTTTATGATTAACTGTACATAATTACAAGTTATAAATGACCACTTAATTATTACGTGTAAGTACTTATGTTGTGTACTTACTTATATTTTTAGCAGACGGATTACCTGATGGTAAGCAATCAGCGCTGCCCATGGAAACCCGCAACAACAGAGAAGCTACGAGTGCGTTGCCGGCAATTTGGGGATTAGGGATTTGGATAATTAGTGTTGTTCCGTGCTGGAATCGAACCCTCGACACGTTGCACAGCAGCCTATTTCCCACCCACTACTGCTACAATGCAATCATAAATAATTCAGTATGTCTTACAATAATTATTTCTCAGAAATAGTATGAAAATTGAAGACAAAATATCAATAACTAGCTACTGTCGTGCGGTTTCACCCGCTGCTCAGCTCCATTTGATCGTGGCGTGATGTTTTATAGCACATAACACTCAGGAATATTGTAGCTATCTATCAGTGAAAGAATTTTGGCATTCCGACCAGCGGTTCCAGAGATTACCCCCTACATACAAACTTACAAATTTTACCTTTTTATAATATTAGTATAGATTACATTAATTTATTTCTCCCTCCAGGTAGGAGCCTACTGTTATGCAGAGCTGGGGACCATGATCAGGCTCAGTGGAGCTGACTACGCGTACATCATGGAGACCTTTGGACCCTTCGCAGCTTTCATCAGGCTCTGGATTGAGTGCATGATCGTCAGACCTTGCTCGCAGGTGAGGAAATAAATCCATATCTACTTATAAGTTACCGGCTCTTGCCCGCGACTCCGTTCGCGTGGAATAGTGACTTCTGTAGATTTTTGGTATAAAAACCCTATGTCCTTTCTCGAATTCCAAAATATGTCTGTACCAAATTTCACAGAAATCGGTTCAGTAGTTTAGACGTGAAGAAAAGACAGACAGACAGAGTTACTTTCGCATTTATAATATTAGTTTGGAAGATAGTAATGATATCAGAAAGTAATGGTGTGCAAAGGAAAGTGTTAAAAAGCCTTTTATGCCTTTTTAAATTGTTGAATTATTATTTACTAGCTACTCTAGCGCGGTGTCACCCGCTGCTCGGCTCCATTTAGCCGTAGCGTGATGTTTTATAGCCTGTAGCACTCAGGAACATTGTAGCTATCTGTCAGTGAAAGAATTTTGGAAATCGGACCAGCAGTTCCAAAGATTACCCCCTACATACAAACTTACAAACATATGTATAAACTTACAAACTTACAAATTTTACCTCTTTATAATATAAGTATAGAAGTATATGTGGTTGGACGGCAAACGAGAATACGGATTACGTTATGGTAAGCAATGGTAGCACCAGTAACAATGGAAGAGTGCGAGTGCGTTGCCGAGCATTTGGGGATTAGGGTTTGGGGATTTAGGGATTGGGGAAGGGTAAGGATGGGGCCTCCAGTAACCTCACTCACACGTTGAAACACAACGCTGTGGTTGCTTCCTGCCGGTTTTCTATGAAGCCGTGGTATCACTCCGGTCGAGTCGAACCATTCATGTCGAAGCATGGCTCTCCCACACTTGAAGAGAGTATGTATAAAACTCCTAGACCTTAGACGGTAAGAATAAAATCGAATACTTTCACATACCTATATTTTTTATTGGAGGCTAGTACTTGTTCAACAAAAAAGGTTTTAGTTTTCCTGACCTTGGTATCAATCGTCGTAACACTGATATAGTTTTACGAGTTCAGAATTCAAACGGTACGTCACCTTTGCAGAAGTGGAATCGATTGATGGTATTTTAGTAAATGGACAGTAATGATAAAAATAGGCCATTTTGTATTGTTGTGTTACTTTAAGTTGCTAATGAAATATAACGATGATACGTAAAAGGAGGCCTAATCCTTCCACTCCCCCGACCCTTCCCCAATCCCTAAATCTCCAAATCCCTAATCCCAAAAAGGTCCGCAACGCACTCGTAACTCCTCCGTTGCGGGTGTCAATGGGCGGCGCTAATTTCTTACCATCACGTATCCGTCTGCCGCCTTATTACATAAAAAAAATACTTAATTGTTGGAGAACCGAGCTTCGGCACGACCGGAATGATACCGTGAAACAACTACAGCGTTGTGTTTCGGCGTGTGAGTGAGGTTACCGGAGGCCTAATCCTTACTCCTCCCTATGCGTTCTCAATCCCCAAATATCCTAACCTTTATCCCTAAAAGGCAGGCAATGCACTCACAACTCCTTTAGTGTTGTCTGTCTATGGGCGGTCGCCGATTGCTTACCATAAGGTAATCCGTATGTTCGATTGCCGATCGATCCCATAAAAAAAACGTATAACTCTAAAACCATGCTACAGCGCAGAAGTTTATGGAACGTCGCCAGTTTTTATAGATTTGTAGACATTTATAGATTTATATTATACATGTAGGTACTTACAAAGTAAAACTTTCTTCTATATAGATAACATGGACATATTAAATAGCATTTAGGGAAAGCAATGTATTGATTTAACATTACCTTTATGCCTGGCACGTAATAGGTACCACAAAGAACATCTAAACTTAAAAGACTATAATCATATACCTTTATAGAGCTCTGAAATATTCTTTTTATTATCTGTAATTATAAGCAAACTATGGTAAGTGATATCTCATAATTTGAGCTCACCTCTAATTAGCTAGCCGGGGTTGCGGGGTAAGCGCTATGAGGCCCCGCGACCTCGGCCCAGAGCAGGAGAAGGAACAGGGGGATTTTAGTCAGTAAGAGTCTCCCTCCCGCCCGGCCCTGGGCGAGGGAACTCATTTGATTATATTCCCTTCACAAAAAAAATCTCATCATCATCATCACCCTAAAAGTGCTTACTGCTGAGCAGAGGCCTCTTTTAACACGGAGAAGGTTTGAGCATTAATCCACGCTTGCTCAAGGCGGATTGGCGCGGTCCAGATTACCTCACGATGTTTTTCTTCACCATATGTCAGTGGTGCCTAATGTATGCAGAATGTGTTAAATAGAATATCCATAACATCATTAACCTTCCCGATTTGTAATAATTATTCACCCTTTAAATTCTATGAAATCTAGATCAATACAAATACAAAATATCTAGGTCAATTATCCTTCAGAGAACGAGTCACCAAAACCTTCGATTTAGATGTAATATAAAGATAAATACTTATAGGTATGATTGATGTTGATATATTGTCGTTAACGTATAGAAAACTAACTGATATCAGCACTTTACACTACCCCAAACGATGCAATTTATTTTCAACTTTATTTACTTAGCGATAAAGTTAAAAAGCTCTTCCTTGTACAGAGTAGGTTGATTTGCAGGATGTGTAGGTACGTATGTATGTATAAAACTCCAGACGTTAGGGAGAGGAGGGTAGTGACGCATTCTCTCTGCGTAGGAGAGACAAGAAAGGAATACAAATTACAGCTTCCACGGTCAGTAATCTGATTAAAGGCGCCATTTTATTCGTCGAAAAAAGAACATTTTATTATTTATTAAATTGACTTTTTTATTTCTGGAAATTAGACTTTATTCTTTGAGTGTTAGGTTGGATAGTTGTTTCGTTTTGTAATTTATAGGAACTTGATAGTGTGGGCTAAATATTGAACAATTTAAGGAACAGATATGTTTGTTATTCTACGAAATAGAAAATTAAAAGAAAAAACTTTAAGTATTGCGTTTGTGTTGATCCTGCACAGGTACTGCGTTCAATAGTAATACAGAATATAAAAATAACATTTTTTTTTAATAATAACGATGAAGTTTCTTTCTCCATTCGAAACAACAATTTGGAATGAGCACCTAGCGTCACTGACGAACGGGCTGACGCACTACTATTCTATTTTGACGTTTCAAAAGTACTTATTAATGGCTTAGTTTGATTAAATGAGTTTGACTTAATCCCTTGCAAAGCAAGACTCACATTTATGTACCTACTCAAAGAAAATAAATGCTAACAAAAAGCTTACTAAACAAATCGCTGCTCATTTATTTCAATAAGACATTTGTCAGCTACAAGGTTTTCTTCTTTATAACAAAACAATATGGCCACTGACATTTATTTTACAACTCCGTTGACATCTGCTATTGGCGCCCAGCGTGGGACTTTATTTAAATGTTATTTCCATTGGATTCCCTTTATATTTTTATAGACTTAGAGACTTATTAGACTTTATATTGTATTTTATTTCTATGTAAAGTTTATTGAACAACATTATTGGAGTAGAAAATAGTGATATATTTGACAGTAGCCTACTATTGGTTTTTATTGGCGCCCAACGTGGGACTTGTTTTGTCTAAGATTAGGGAAACGTTATTTGTATTTTAAACAGTTAATAGGAAAGTAGATTAAAACGATGAATGTTATATTTATAACTTCGTATAATTTGGGTTATTACTTAGTTTGACTTATATTATTTAAAGTTTTTCTAAGAATTTAAGGCCTTGTTAAAAGAAATGTAGTTCTGTAGTAGTATTAAAAATTAAATATTAAAATTTATTGAAGAACTCATAATCTAGAATATAAAGTTTTGCTTAAATCTATACCAAGTTCATAATATTGGGTGCCCAAAATCATAATATTATTAAATCAGTTCTCATAAAATTTCAACTCCTAATACATTGAACTTCGTAAAACAAAGTAAAAAATTTATACAGAAACACAAAACACACAGCAATACATAAAATACTACGACAAAATTTCTTCACAAAAATTTACAATCGATACTTATCCATTTTCTCCCCGAAAATACAAACTTCATATTTTCTTACGAAAATAGCATCTGATGACAAAGCTCAAGGGATTATTTTCCCATTACACTGTCTTACGGCTTGTGAACTTTGTCACGAATGACGTCATGAACATGGAGTATACGGGATGGGAGTACCTACTCTGTGTAATGTTTTATTCAGGACATGTATAGAGTAATACCGTGGCAAGGGGGTAAAATGGCAACTTCTCAAACTTTTACCGTTTTTGACAATACAAAGACACAAAGACGGGTTGTTGGTGGAATCTAATTGATTGATTGATTAAACAAGATTTACATTAAGAACATCATTCCAATTAATTCATGAAGTAATAAAATTATACTATAAATAAATAAATTCTTCTCCATCCTTAATCCTCAAATCACCTATCCTGAAACACCTAATAACTTGCGCTGATTGCTTACCATCGGGTAATGCGTCTACCCGTTTGCCATACTATAACAGAAAAAAAAGTTAAACTAATACAGTAGCGCCATCTAATTTATTATTATCTAAACAATCACCTAATGTGCGATTTTGTCACCGACTTAATCGTGTAAATTAAGATTTGTATGGTCCCTTGTCGCTCCATATAAATCCCAATTACGCTGAAGCAACAAATCAGTGTAAAAAACTCGCTCTTGACTTACAGGTGATCCTCCTTAGTTCTATACTCCATGGTCATAGATACAAGATCTTGACGCCATCTTTGTTTTCAGGCGATAGTGGCGTTAACGTTCAGCGTGTATGTGCTGAAGCCGATATTCCCAGAATGTGACCCGCCCGAAGATGCTACCAGGTTGCTAGCTGCATGCTGTATATGTGAGTATCAGTTCATAGCTTTTTTATGTATATACTTGGTAAAAAAGTGATAAAATATTTCATAAACTGCTACAATAATAATAATAATACATGATCCAAATATCAATTCCCACATATTAATATGAAAACAATCTAAAATGACGGACAAATTGTACTCATTGAAAAAAAATATGTCTAAAAGGTAAAATATTTTGTTAATTTGTGTTATAAGTTCCTTGAAATACTTTCAGTTAATCATTATGTGTAACGGATTGCTCATGTAACTATTTACACAAGCAAATCGTCAGTATTGCCTATAGTTAGTTAAGTAAAAAGTAAAACACATCAAGAAAAAAGACATTGACTTTCGCGTCTATCAGAAAAATGGTGACGAAATAATGTATTGGATCCAGCTCTATAGATTATTTCGTTATTATGTTACCAATAGCAAATCCCTAAACGCCTTCAGTATCCATACTGTAGGGTAAGCGTATTTGAGCATTTCAACGATAACTTAATAAATAAAACAGAATTTAACCCCAAAAAATTCGGTTCTAATTTCAAAATCTGTATTTTAAAAAAGGTCCAAGAGGGAAATAGGTAGAATCGATATTGTATTAGGTGCTAGTCAAAGTAATTCCTGTTCCACACTAATTAAGTTACTGCTCAAACGAATTCCTTCTAGGAAGGTATTTGGAGCGAATTTCTGACCGCCATCGCTATCGCGCACCGTAGTAATCGACTTTGAGCTTACGTGATCTGAATTGGTAAGGGGTCTTGATTTTATTCTACTAAAAGACGAGCGAGATGAGGATATCTAAATGTCCATATTAATAACAGGTCTCAACTCAAGAGATCCAGAGAGGGTCTCTGCAACCGATTTTTAATAGACATGTTTTTAAAAATCAGTCAAAATGGACTTCGCAAGAGTTGTTGTCTGTATTGCTCTAGGTTCAAGGCCAGTTGCAACAGATCACCCTTTAAATATCCACAATCAATCCAACGAACATGATACTATTCGTTTTGTAATTCCAAATTCTTTTAAAGAGTCTAAATAGTTTTTTATACAAGGGAAATGTTCAACTTATTCACAAATTCTCAATCCCCGATTTTCCTAAACGACCAGCGGGATACTTTAGTATTGTTACTCTAGTGTCGGGGGCATCTGTGGGTGATGTTGCTGCTTATTTTCTTAGGTGGTCTATTGGTTCATTTACTATCCAATGATACAGAATATTTTTTATGGTTCAATAACCATAAAAAATGTTCTATAGCCTCACTATTTCTCACCAGCACCACCCTACGACGAAGTATGGAAGTTGTGTTAATTAGTTCTGTGCAATCTAAATAGCATCCGCGTGCCTTTTCCATCCGAGCAATACGTCATCAGTTTTCTATTTTAAAAGAAATATCTGGAAGATATATTCAAGAAGTTTCTATATTATTATGGGAAATAATTGTGAAATGTTTCAGTAAATTGGAAGGCTTGATAAAAAATGATGAACAATTATATTAACTTGTCGTATTTTCCTTTTCTTTCATCTAAGAGCCTGTTAAACAAAAATATTATTTCATATTTCATATTTATTTATTTGCATACCATAATGTTACAAAGATGTTAAGGGCTTAAATCTAGGTACATATTATGGACCCTGATAGCAAAAGAAGGTATACATAAGTTATTAATAACATTACATATAATTAGGTACAATAATAGGTATTTATATCAAATTATTTATATATTAATTAATAATTAGACTATCTTTTTATCGTCCAGATATTCTTTGACGCTATAGTAGCATTTGCTTTGAAGGAGCAATTACCAGGCATTAATTGAACTAAAACCTGTTTTTACCGTTTAGTATCTGGATACGGTAAAGAAAATAATCCGCGAATTTGTGAGCGTATTAACTACGAGTTCGAAGTCGTCGTTTAGATTATTTAATTTGAACTTTAATTAACTTATACCAACTTAACAATATGACAAAGAATTAGACTGTGAAACTGATTGAAAAAGAGTAACTAATCATGGAGTTACTTGCTCGTTCTTCTCCACCAGAATCTACACTTTGAAATGCGCAAATAGCTTCACTAAGAGAACTGATTGTTTGACGTTCAGAACTGTTTAGTAATGGGCAGAATTAAAAGAAATGTTTTAATTTTAACTTTGACTTATCCAACATAAACTCTTATTGTCCCCAGTGCTTCTAACATTCGTGAACTGCTGGTCAGTGCGGGCAGCTACAAGGGTCCAGGACTGGTTTACGTACGCCAAGCTGCTGGCTCTCTTCATCATCATAGCAGCCGGCATCTACCAGCTCTGCAGAGGTAAGTTATTCCACATCTAGAACTGAACAGACCGAGGTGGCCTAAGGTTATGGTGGCCTGGAGGTTAAGGCACCAGTTTCTCGTGCGGGCTCGAAACCTGGCAAGTATCAATGCGACTTTTTCCGAGTTATACATTATGTACTTTCTATGATTATTTAGACACCGGTGAAGGAAAACATCGTGAGGAAACCTGGACTTATAATTTTATTGACTGCACGGTTGGCGTGGTGGCTGGGCAACTGGCTGTCGCGCAACGTGTCGCAAGCTCGATTCCCGCACGGAATAACTCTTTGTATGATCCACTGATTATTGTTCCGGGTCTGGGTGTGAAATTGTATGTTTGTAAACGCACCTACGACACAGGGAAAACCCCTAGTATGGGGCAACGTTTAGAAAGAAAGAAAGATAAAAGAATTTAGAACTTTCCCTATCCTTGATGACCTTCAATTAATTGTAGATTGTCAATTATCAATTTGAAGAATTGCTTTTGACTATGACATTTATCTTGGCACATGATTAAAAAGTCTTTGGAGTAAGTTTATTGGTTACTCAATTACTGATTAAACAATATTTTTAACCTTGGACGTCTAAAAACATTTGTTTAAACAGTTTTTTGTTCCTTACATTTTCGAACAAGCATTTTGTCTTCAGGTGGTATACAAGCTATGTCACTTTCATAAAGTGTAATTATTTAAATGACCCACATTTTGTATCAATTAGCTTCGAATGTTTTTGTTTTGCAAAATTTGAATAGAGTAAATAAGGTACTTAGCTGAACAATAAAATATTTTGGAAACATTGCTTAAAATATGCAGAACGTCACATGTCTATATTGTTTATGTTATAAGTCGGAAAACAAGCATTCGGGTTACCTAATGGTAAGCAATCAGCGCTAGCTAGCAAGGAGCTATGAGTGCATTGCCGAACTTTCCGGTATTAAGAATTTGGAGATTTTGGGAGAGGGAAGGATTAGGCCTCCGGTAACTTCTGTCAAATGACGAAACGTTAATGCCAACGTAATATAATATGCCATTATATCTGGGATAAGAGTAGATAGAGTTATGGGATGGCCCGGGTAGTTGATGAACTATATTCTGTCTCAAGGCTCGCGACCTGCTACCCCCTTAATTGAGGGCTAGAAAATCATCAAGTGACTCCTTTCGCCCTGGCCAAGACGGGATCCCTACCTTGTTGGACTGTTACTGACTGTCTGTATGAACCCACCCTGCTCCTTATCCTGGTCAAGGTCGAGGCCGCAGTATACTTATTATTTATTCGCAATGGGTTGGCGTTTGGGCCTTTATCTCGCCTGGTGGTATGCGAAGATGTGACGTTTGGGCCTTGAAGGCACCCATACTCTTCTGGGTTTCATGGTAGGACGTTGTATATCCCCTGCCAAGCCAGTAGATTCGTACTGAAACATGGCTCTTCCACGTTTAGTTTCAAAAAACAATGATAAATATTATAATCATCTATACTAATATTATAAAGAGTTAAAATTTGTAAGTTTGTATGTAGGGGGTAATCTTTGGCACAGCTGGTCGGATTGCCAAAATTCTTTCACTGATAGATACCTAGCTACAATGTTCCTGAATGCTATAAAACATCACGCTACGATCAAATGGAGCCAAGCAGCGGGTGAAACCTCGCGAGAGTAGCTAGTTTTTTTATAAAATAACCGCCAAAGCAAGACGCAGCCGTCCAAGAGTCGGCTAGAGAATTTGATTGCGTTACAATTACTCAATAATCAAGTGTTCGGACCGCGATAGTATAAACTTGACCGTGATCCACTTACGCTTATTTATGCAAATATAACAAGACTTAGAAAATTGATACAGCTGTTACATCATTAATTTTTATTGTTGTTTCATTATAATTTTATAAGACAGGTGCTTTGCAGGCTCCGTATTAAGAAATTCAGATAAATTTCACGTTTCTTAAGAACATAATTCAAACAGACTCTGTCCTTATTGAAGACTTTGATTTCGAAAAAATCATATGAAAATAAAAAAATACAAAAATTCTTACTTAAAACTATATTTCCCATTGTCCCGCACTAAGATTTTCTCCTGCGGTGAAGATAGCTTTATTAATAATCATGTCAATAGCAAAAATCCATTAGGAATGAATTCAAGACGATGATATAGCTATCCTATTGATAAAGGGAGCAATACTTGAGTAAATTGAGTTCAGCGTCTACACAAAGATACGGCGAAAATTGCTTATTGGAAATACTCAAAGAAAGTTAATTGATTTCTATTGGAATTCCAGAAGCATTGATAAATGTTGGCTGAAATTCCACCAACGTCATCACACATCACCATAAGTATGCTTACAGCTGAGCAAAGGCCTTTTCTCACACTGTGAAGGTTTGAGCATTAATCACCACGCTTCCTCAAGGCGGATTGGCGATTTCAAACTTATAAGTAGTTAGAAATTATAAGTCCTGGTTTTTTTACGATGTTTTACTTCACCGTTTGCATGTCAGTGGTGTCTTAATAATCGTAGAAAGTACATAATAAATAAATAAATAAAAATAAAAAAGCCTTTTCAAAAATAAAAAATACATTTAAAGACTAAATTAAATTTTAAAAATCCGTTACAAACAGTGTTTAATATTTGAGTTTTCTTATTAAGTAGGTATATGTATTATATTATATAAGAATGTGTATATATATATATTTTTTTTCAAGAACCCCTCTCTTTCCTTCTATTTTCTTGATGTCGTCTGTCCAGCGCGCATTTGGTTTACCCTTTCTTCTTTGACCTGAAGGTCCTAGTTAAAAAGTCCACATAACTCGAAAAATGTCACATTGTTACTTGCCAGACTTCGAACCCACACCCTCATTAGGTAATAAGAACTACAACTAGTTGAAATTCATTCTACCACCAGACAATCGGTAAAACATCATCGCTTCATCGGTGGACCTACACACACGAAGCGGTTCGCTTCCAGTTTTATAATAAGAACCGCTGAGGAGCGGAATTCTTTGCCGGCGACTGTGTTCCCCGAAGGGTATAACCTGGGTGTTTCCAAGGCCCGGGTGAATAGTTTGCTTATGGCTAGCCGTGCTCCATCGCAACAGTATGCGTGATTACGGCCGAAATATAAAAAATGAATTTTATCACCTGCCACGAAACTTTTCACTGCTCCAAAGGCCTCTTCTCACACGGAGAAGGAATGAACATTTATAACCACACTTGCTCAAGGTGGATTGGTTATTTTAAACTTATAATAAGTCCTGGTTTTTTCACAAAGTTTTTTGAGAGCTAATTAATCTTTGCACCATATTTTTTTTAATTACGACAGGACTTTTTCGCTCGCGTTCTTATCTTCAAAATATACACACTTAGGCTTCGTTTCGTTAATGTAACCAAATATATCACTTCATCTGAATTTGGGTAACTAGTAAGTTGTAACAGAAAATTAATTAATCTCTAATATAGTAACAGAAACTTTAGTGGTAAGATAGGCCTAAAACATCAAACTAAGTGCAGTAGTAAATTTCAAAGTTGTTCCACAAAAAATACTACGAACTGATTTCCCAGTTTCTTTTAATCTTCACCTAAAAGGAGGGATTTCACCTTTACAAAAAGAAACTACTTATTTTGAGGTAAAAATTACGATAAAGAATGGATGCAAGCCTTAAGAAAAATCTTAATAGAAACAAACTCCTTAAAAGCTACCAATTTGTATTTAAACATACATATACACAAAAGTACCTCATGGTATCTACTAAAAGTCAAAAGTCAAAAAGGCACTTTTGAACGTCAAACAAAGCGCCATGGGGGTCACCGGAGCCCTCCATTAGCGGAGGATTAGCCTTCAACAGTTTTCTGTCGGCAGTCAAAGGATTAAAGATAAAAAGTGTCACTCTATCGGTCAGCCATCTTAGTAAATCTATTACCTCTTCATTTATTTATTTTGCTGTACCATACTAAAGGAACATTAACTCAGTTACTAAGGCAACAACCTAAGAAAGAAACTGCACAATGCACAAATAAGATCCAATTCAAACTTCCTCTGATGCGTGGGCGTCGACGCCGCTGTGCGACGTTACCACAAATCCCATTATTAAATGATTGCTGCAATCCGGGGCAGATCTCGTGTGAAACGATATTACAATAGTCTGGACTATTAAGGAAGATATCGGCTAGATGCCTGAATAATGGTTGGTGACTTGGAATGATGTATCGACGTCCATTGAGGTCCGTCGTAAATTCGCCACAATGCATGGTGGATCTTAGCTTTCTACAGATATGAATAAGAAGCAGTTCGTTACCACATAACATTTTTTATGTGTGGCACTCATATACAATGATTAACTTGTAGATGAAACCCATAGATGATGCGACGACTCTGGATGCATGGAAGTAAAGATTACACGTACTTACATATGTAAATTTAAATTCCCAATTACATACAATTGACTGTTCACCAGACATACTCGGAATATCCCCTCTTTTCCAATGCGATGGATAGCCACTCTCGTTCACTTCAAGTTTTGGAACCAATGGTGGCTATCAGCACTTGTACGCTTGTCCTGTCATGTCATGTGTTCGTACTACGACAGCAGCTAAAAATATATTTGAGGGTTCTTTCGATTTGATAACCATCTTTAATCAAAACGAAAGGAACACAGATTGCATTAAGTATATAAAAATCTTTTATGCGAAGTTCTGATGGTAAGCAATCGAGCAATATGTGAGGAGTTACGAGTGCCTTACCGGCTTTTGGATATTATTGAATGGGGAGGATTGGGCTTAAAGTTTAACTATCGCAGGATACCTCTTGATTATTTAGCGAGAAACTCATTTTTGAATTTCTTCATCTTCCAGGTGAGGTGCAGCACTTCACTTTCGAGGGTACCACCAACGATGTGACCTCCATTGCTCTCTCTTTCTACTCCGGACTCTTCGCTTACAACGGATGGTAAGATCTTCTTCTCATACTGTCCAATGGTTGACCATCGGCAAAGGTCTTTTTATGGAATAGGAGGCAAACGAGCAGACGAATCACCTGATGGTAAGTGATCAGCGCCGCCCATGGACACCTGCAACACCAGAGGAGTCTTAGGCGCCCTCAAGAAGGAGTACTCGTAGTTTTAGGTTTCCATGAAGTTATCAACTAAGTTGGCACAATGGCCGGAGTTACATTTATTGTTTTGGGATAAGTCCATTTGTAGATAAATTTAATATTATTAGAGGTATATGTTTGAGTTTTTGTGAAAGTCTAAATGATTAGTTCCTATTTGTTTTTGTTTGTTTAATTGTTTGTTTTAAGTTCATCTTTTTATATTTCGTTTTTTCTTTTCCTTTATTATATCTGTGTTAATGTAACTGGATCAAATCCGTGTTAACATAAATAAATAAATCTTTCCAAAACTACTGCATTTCCTGCAAGCCAGGATTTACAGTAGATACAACTATTAAAACACCGAAACACTAAAGTCCGGCGCGTCCCGAGGACATGAATGACTGTGTTGGGGTCCGCAACGAAATAAATCAGAGGATATTATTTGAGGAGAAGACAAGACTGACAAAAAAACGGACTTACATCTAATAACGTGCACCGTGGTCGATTTCTGCATGAAACAATTCATGCTATGCTATGCTACCTATGATAAATTACGACAGGATATAACCAGATTGTAGAGTACTTAGTTTTTATTCTAGAAAATTAGTTGATTGACCTTTTGTGCTACTGGGTCAAAGACAAAACATGTAGCGTAGGTACTTAGGTACTTATTTCAATTGAATAAAAAAGAACTGAAAGTCAAGAGGTTCTTAAAAAGTCAATAACTTATCAATACCAATAAACTTGAGGATACTTAGTAATATAAACTAGTTTCTAATGTTGAATGTATTAACAAATAACAAAACATTCGACTTTTTTACGGACAAGACATAGAAATCATGTAACGACTTAAAAATGGAAGAAGTCTCACCATTAAAACGTCCTTTCTTTGTGTAATTAATACATAACACACACAGAACTAAAGATACAATTCACACTGCTTCGCTGTTACAAGATCCACCGACATTGCAATAAACATACTATGTAAATATCTACTAAACGACTCAAAATTCTGTTCAAATTATTCCAGGAACTACTTGAACTTCATCATTGAGGAGTTGAAGGACCCCGTGAGGAACCTGCCCCGAGCTATCGCCATATCCTGCACCCTCGTCACTGTGGTCTACACCTTCACCAACGTCGCATTCTACACGACCCTCTCACCCACTGAGGTAGGTTAATTAGTCTGTGTAAAGATTAGGTACTTTTTTATGTAGGTAATAAGTCGGCAAACGAGCAGACGGATTACCTGATGGTAAGCAATCAGCGCCGCCCATGGATACCTGGAACACTAGAGGAGTTACGAGTGCCATGCCATGTCTTTTGGTGATTAGGGTTTCGCAGGTTACCGGAGGCCCAATTCTTGCCCCCCCAAATCCCTAATCGCCAAATGATCGGCAATGCACTCGTAACTCCTCCGTTGTTGTAATCCATCTGCTCGGTTACCATCCTATTACATAAAAAACAAAAAAACATATATTAGGATATAGGGACTTACAGACAGAGAAAGTGACTTGGTTTAATACTACGCAGATTGCCAGAAGAGTTTATATTTTTGTCATCCTGACTGGTTCTATGTCTACGTAGTAAAGTAAGTTAAAGAACGTCTGAAGGTTAGGCGTAAACAATTACTATAATTGCTTCGCTTTACAATAAAAGTAATAGGTATCCGATACTTGTGACCTTCGCTCGATAACGGTTGCCAAATAAAAATGTATCATAATACTTAAATTTTTAAAACATAATTTTGGTAGAGCAGCGCCAAGTTTGCAAAATATGCTTTAAGTGTGTGTGTGTGAATTTTTTTGAAGTTCGTAAATCTTGATTGTTTCTCCTAATGAAATCAAAAAGAAAATTAGTCTTGTATAATCTTGGTAATGCTAGCCATGGAACTGCATAGCCAAAGAAATTATCAAAGACAAAGATTTTCCCAAGTAACACATTTGCAAAAACACGTTTACATATAAAATGCATTATTTTGATGTATATTATGAGGTTTTAAATATTTAGGTTTGAACTAACTTGTTTTACCATATTCTTATGATCATTAAGATCTCATTAATAATAATAATTGAAGTCTATATATCTCTTTAGACGTTGTCCCTTTGTATCATTTCTGATATACAAAGGGGAATGCCAATTTTAGGCCCAGAGCTGCACAATAAATTGGTTTCAGTAGAAAAATACCTTGTTATTTTACTCATGTCTTGCATATATTCATAAGTCTGTGCATGATGGGATATTTTTTCAAAAACATTAAATAGATATGAAAATGACTAATCTTAGGAAACATAAAAATATTTTCAAGATGTTGCCTTTACAAAAAAAAAACTACCAAGAATGAATCGGAACAATAATAGTGATATTATTTTTAATAAACAGAGATATTTTTCCGAAAAGAAAATGAATTAATGAATATCATGTAATGGAAACTAATATTATTTCCATTAAAGAACAATTTTTTTGTGAAATAATAATATAATCGATCTATCGATTTTTTCTTTTTATGGCAACATCAAGTCAACTTTTGACAAGCCGCCGGAAAAAGTTAATGTCAAAATCATTGCTTGTTTGTTTACTTACGACTTGTGTATACTAATCGTGGTTTAAATTGACTACTTTCACTCATTAACTTTGAGGATTCTTCTATCCTTGACGACTACAGCCTGATTATGGATTGTGCTCCTGCTACTCATGACGACACTGGTGATAAATTGGATTTAGTATTAGACGCTTTGGCTTACGAACCCGGCATTCAGTCTGGACTTAGTATCGACAATGTTGATTTGGTATTACACCGTACACGCTTCGACCGACGACGAACCCGGCATTTACTCTGGACCTAGTTATTCACAACAGTCATCTACTGCTGTGAGCGGTGATCTACTTTGTTTATACTGCGGTTTGAATGTAGCTAGAATTCGAAGACATACTTTGGAAATCACTGTATCAAGTTCGAAATCTTATACAACGATGGATTAGCCAGGTAATTAATGATCATATATATTTAAAATCTCTTAGTACTTAATAGTATTTTAAAAGTACCTTATGTGCTGATTTTGTAACTGCTCTCATCTTTTCTTGTAGGTACAAGTTTCCAGTGATAGTCTAGTGTGCCATGCATGAAGGACAAATGCTTGGAATGAAATGCGACATACAACAAGATTTGAGCCAATTATTGGTCATGTAAATGTATGTGTCATCACTGTGGCACATCATTTTTAAGGTAACAATCACAAACATGGAATACAAACACTACTTGTGAAGCAGATTTTCAAAACATTACTGTTAATAATGAGATATAAGAGAATTCCCTGGTATAAATATAAATAAGTGATTTAATATTGATTGCTTGTGACACTTATTAACTTAAGCAAGCTCGCTCATACTATGGCGAGCAAATGAGATTTACTGGGGCATACTGTATAGAAGTATGTACTAATAATAGTAATAGAACAATCACTATATTTGCACAAATCTGTTCACTGGTAAGGACCAGAATTGCTAGTCGTCATGTTCGTTGCAAAAAGCTGTATATCGGTTTTAGTTGGCACTGTTGACACAGGCCATGCAGCAGTAACTGTATTGGTGGCTGGCGTACTGTAGGATGCTGTGCTTATGTCATGACCGTGATAATAATATGGTATTTAGGATGGACAAGGCATTTCCTGTAATACCAATTTCCATTCCAAAATAATGTATTTCCACCCGCACAATTTGTTGATGATGTTTTACTCATATATGGTGATGATCAACAAGAATAAATATGTAAAACTAAAGGTGTTTTGTGTTATTTAACTCCCAGTTATTATGCTTTACACTTCCACACTATAAAATTAAAATAATTATTATTTTGTTTTTTTAACGTTACTAGTGTTGATGAAATAATAAAACCTTTAATAACTTTTAAGTGCCAAGTATTTTTGATATAATTTCTTTTACCATTTGATTATTGGAATTACCCTCTATTATAATCATGAACTTTTATATGTGTGCACAGTGGGCCTAAATTACTATGGGGACTTGGCATTCCCCTTTGACATTGGCTTCAAAGTTCCCGCAATAAAAAGTTTTATGAAATGTTACCAATTAATACTATTATCTACAGGTTCTTGGTTCAGCGGCAGTTGCTGTAACGTTTACTGAGCGTCTGTTCGGTTGGTTTGCTCTCTCCATCCCGCTGTTTGTCGCTGCGTCTACATTCGGAGCCGTGAATGGTGTACTTCTTACTTCTTCAAGGTACAAAAATGTTGATAATTAGGCTAAGTGTAAATAAATATGAAGTTTGAAATAGAAAAGAAAAAAAAACTACTTAAAATAGTAGTTAAACGAGTTACCAGTAAGTAATTGACTGCACGGTTAGTGCGGTGCCTGGGAAACTGGCTGCCGTGCAACGTGTCGCGGGATTCGATTCCCGCACGGAACAACTCTTAAAATCCTAATGTGGGGCAACGTTTTTTTTTTTAAAGAAAAAAAAATTAAAACATAAATATTGAATCTATTAAATATTAACAACGTAACACTTTATAAACTGAACTATGAGTTATGTTGCTGGTGTGTTTCCTGGAACTTTAACCTTCATTCCATATCTATATGACACCAAAACATAAAAAGAAATATTTATTGAACTTATGTAAACAGTTTTGTTTTTCCTCTACAGATTGTTCTATGCTGGCGCGGCTCAAGGACAGATGCCAGAGATGTTGACGATGGTGAGCGCACGAGCGACCCCGGCGGCCGCAGTACTGGCTGTGGCACTACTCAGTCTGGTCTACCTCACTGTGTCTGATATCTACGCACTCATCAACTACGTCGGATTTGCTACTTGGGTACGTAATTTAACTATTTTGAAACTTCAAGTGGAGGAAGTAACGGAGGGTGACATTTTTTATAAAAACTTTTAAGATTTTCTCTTCTAAATGTACACCCAGACTCTGAAGAACTATATATTTGTGGATCACACAAAGAATTGTTGTCAGACTATTGTCAAATCAATCTTTAAAAATATACCTATTTCATACATTTTAATTATTTAAGGGGCTTATATTCATGCGCACGTGTGACATGTGAGACAACTGAAGTGTCGCTCAATTTGACAAAACAATGCTTTACCCAAAGATCATAAAATATTCATAAAAATAAAAGTGCAGTAAAACGCTAAATACACATGTTAAATATTTTTATCAAATTCGTACATAGTTTAGTCATAAAACCATACGTGTATCGGTCTTTATGTGATAGTTCATGTAATAGAAATAATTATGTTATTTTCTTCTAATTACAGTTAAGTATCGGCGCTGCAGTACTGTGCTTACCCGTGCTAAGGTATACGCAACCGAATCTCGAACGACCCATCAAAGTGAACCTTTTCTTCCCTGGTAAATTAACTGTTATCACTGTAATCATTTACTTATTGTTTTAATTACTCAATAATACACTCATAATGAGTTCATGAAGAAATAAGAACATTTAAAAAAAAATACGATTTTTCCCCGCATTGTTACCATAAACGTCATGACAATTATTAATATCCTATCTAGTCTACGTGATTGCATCAACAATTTAATTCCAAATACTGTCTATTAAAATATCATATAATTGTATTTCTCATCAATAATCATTAGGGGACCCAAATAATTTACTTTGCGGTTTTTAAATGGCACGTCTATTGTAAATATGTAGGTAACCACTAATGATTTAAACTACAGAACTTGTAAACTAAGTTGTATCTTTCAAATTACAGTAATCTACATAATCTGCACGATCCTGGTAGTAGCGTTCCCTGCGTTTGCATCTCCCGCTGAAACTGGAGTGGGATGCCTCATGATCCTCACGGCTGTTCCTGTATACCTACTCTTGTTGCATCCTAGGACTAGGATTAAGTGTCTCGGTTCTATTACCAGTAAGTACCTAACTAAAAGATATTATTTCTAGAAGAAAATAGTAAACTTGTAACCTGTTCATTAGTAAAATCATTAGTAAAAGCCTGTGACAATCTGTTTCCGAACTATTTTATATTATATTTGATGCCTTATTTTATTTTATGACTGATGGTAAGCAATCAGCGCCCACATAGTGTTGACGGCTTTGGGAAGTAAGAGATTTGAGGCTTAGCGAATTAAGGTATTGGAAGGGAAAGTGCCGTATTCATAAGGCAAGGTTCAGCGAAGCCTTGGATTCCTTTCGAGCCGGCCCATTACGGCCTTAGCATGCTTGCTCACTAGAGAACTTGAGCATATAAGAGAAAGGGTCCAAATTACTGGCACTGAAATTTCAGCTGATTTTTATTGGATTTACCACCTTATTCCGACATTGTAGCGTGTTAGAATCCGTTTGATAATATATTTTGTTTTCTTATTTTCAGATGTCGCTACCGTTCTCGTTCAAAAGCTGACGTTATCATCGCGGCCCAAAATGAAGGTAAATTCCTCTTTTTAATATACATACTTAGAGCTTATTTGTTTTATTCAAATAATATGTAGAAGTACCTACATCTATATAAAAGTATTGTTATTTAACAATTAATTTTATTATTTTACAGTGAACGCGTTCAACAAAATCAGCTTTCGACAACATATCCGACCATCGGTAAGGCAGTTTTACTTGTCTGTTTTACCATGAGAGTGCAAGAAGAACATTTTTATAAACCTCGTTTTTAGAATTAATATCAAAAACAATTTCGACAGCTATGCTTCAACTTGTCGATTCACTACCGAGCCTGCAGAAAGACCAAGCTTACTCAATGGTAAAACAGGCAAGTGTACAAGTAAATTTATATAAAAATGCTGTTGTATTTAAATTATATATTTAACGTGTATGATATAGACCGAAATCTTACACACTTGCGATTATTCTTCGTATGAATCTGCGATTACCATTAATCGCAAATGTGAACGATCGGCTTGTTGTATGTTTTAAATAATAATAAATGTAGTCATTTACAAATGTAATAATATGATACATCGTGTATTATCTCATATTTATAATAATCTAATACCTGACCAGTTTGACGTAGATTTGTGATTCTGATGATATTTTGTGGGTTTAAAGAATTATTTGCAGTATGGGTTATAAATATATTGTTCCTTATTTGTACCTATCTGTATGTTGTATGTATGCGTGGCTAAGCCACGTTTATTATAGAAATGAATGTTGATGGCAGCTAATGGTTTAGATGAAAGTAAAGCTTAAGCGTACGTATCATAATAATATTGTTGTGTATAAATAAAATGAGAAGTTCTGCGCGATTGTATGTATCAGCTTAATCGCTGAAAAGGCATAAATCATTTACCTACTCTGGAGTTAAGTCAAAATCTAAGTCATGCTTTATGCGTCAGTCTATTGTGGGTTAATACGTATATTCATTATTCATATAATTATTTCATTCAATGCGCATTTATTTTTATTATGATAGTGAAAACGCACTCAGTTTATTATAAAATGGTAGGTTAAGTTGCTTATAATTTTATATATTATTATTTCCTATTTAAAAATACTATAACTAAATATACTTTTTTGGTAAGAAAATAAATCCGCATAACATTTTTATGCGCAAAAACGAAGACACGCTCGAGAATGTTAATTAGACTTGGCTGTATCTACCGTACATCCGAAAAATTTGTTTTATATTTTTAAATCATAAAATCGCACACAATGATTTATTGCCAATATTCGGGAATAAGGTTGAACAAAAAATAAATTAAAATCATTATTTGTTCAACCTTATTATACTAATAAAAAATTAAAAAATGACAATGTTCATCAAACATTTTTGCATGTAACTTTTATTACGGCCCTCAAGAGTTCAGTGTGACCACAATAAAAATATAGTATGTCCTACCTATTCACGTTTAGTTTTTGCCGGGGACCATGAAATTCATAAGCAGTTTTACATAACAGGCGTATTTGAAATGGACAATACATAGTCTATTAAAAAGATGTTAGTAGTAGCTTTTGTATGCATATATCTGTTAGAACATCTAGTATCGTATCTTATGTGGAAAAAATATTTATAAGCATAGTCAATATTATTTAAAAATGTTATGACGAGGTGGGTACGAAAAATGTCTCTCGACCCTTTCTTTATAAATCATTGATCTGATTTTATTTTTTACGGCTACCTTGTGTTTTCTGGTAGCTATTGCGTTTAATTATAACTACCGGAGTAATTTTTGTTTGAATATTATAAAATAATTATGCATACGTGTACCATTGGATTGTGTTCTAGGTTAAGCGTCTAAGAAAGATTCGATTTCTATCAAGTTTTGGTTGAGAAATAATTAAGCAATTAATTATTATTATATCTTGTTCAATAACTCACGGGTTATTAAAAACAAAACGATAAGTTAGTACATTTATTTCGTTTAATCCAGTTCGATTTTGTCAGTATGGCTGTGCTAAACTAAGGACAAAGTGTTGCCATTCCCAAAGAATCATTAACATAATTTGATTTTCGTAGAATTAATTTTAGGTTTTATATTTGGATGTTTCTCTTAAGTTACTATAGAAGAAAATAAAAAATAAACTAATCAATTATGAAAATATGTATTAGAAAATATCATAGCTTGACTTTAAAAGTAGCATGTGTAATCATAATGTGTAAACATTAAGTTAAAATCATTTTATAAGGGCTGATGTTTCAATGCATTTAGAAGTTACCTGGGGAATAATTATGATGCTGTCGCGTCAGAATGTTTGTAAGACAGTGACGGCAACAATTTTATTTCTCAGATAACATTTATCTGACTATTGGAAAATCAGCCCTAAAACATGTATCGTGGATAATTAATAATTGGTTACAATTGATTGATTGTAGTGTGAATTGTTGGTATACTATTTGATGTTGTAATCATTATAATCATGGCTTCGTTTAGACGTTAAATTGTATTTTTTAATGTGTAAATATTTTTGGAACATACTCAAAACATTCCATTGCGTTGCTAGTTAATACTGCCACAGCGAAGTGTAGTGGCCACGTTAGGTGTATATTATAATTATTATGTGTATGTTCTCTCGTGTACAACGGTCCATTGATTTTTAAATAAAATAAATACCTAATAATTTTCTTCAATTTTAAGCAAGCATAAATTAGAATCATTGGGAAATTAAGACCAGTCCATCTTTAGGCCGAGGCCACGGTGCCTTATTGCGCTTGTCCCCGGCTGGACAATTGCCCTATAAGGCCCCGTCTGTGGTGGTCTATTGGCTCTTTGAGGCGCGCGCGGAACGCTACGCGCCGTACGCTCGGGTCTGCTTCTGGTCGGGCGGCGAGCTACCCTTACTCGCCTTCCACAGACCCGTGCTTACGGTGGCGAGAGAACATATCTCGATAAAAAAAAAACAGCCTATGTGTGTATTCCATTGTATCACCTATCTAAATACTAAATTACAACCAAATCGATCCAGCCGTTTTTGCGTGAAAGAATAACAAACATACATCTAGGTATACATTTTCACAAACTTTCACATTATTATATTATTATAGTAGGATGGTAGGATAAATCAATATCTTTTCAATAAATGTCCAAATTGCTGACGCCAATGGACCATTGTACAAAGAGTATTTAGATATCGAACTAGGTGTAAAAGATGTAAAGTTTTTGTAATCAAGTGTAATAATTATTTTGACTGCCTTTGTAACCGGTCTTAGTACCTGATTAGCTCCAAATAAGCAACAGAATGTATAAAAATATACCAAATTGTTGATCGCCGTAGTTCACACAGATTTCTAGGCCAATTAAAATGTTAATATTATTCAGTAACTTTAGTACTTTTGTATAAACTTTGCATTGCAGCTTTGAAGAAAGCAATGTTTAAAAGATCTTGACTACAATGTTTAATTTAAAAATAGAACAATTCTTACGATCAGAATCTCTATAAAACGTATAAATACATACGATTTTTTTTGTACTAGCAACACTTTTTTAAGTTTTTTATAAGTAAATTTAATGGTAAGGAATTAAATGTTGCGCTCGAATTAATAACTACAGAAATGTTGATGCAATTTTCAATGCATTTATTTTGCTCATTCCTTTTGTAATATTTATATGTTTAGATTTAAATCCGTTTGTCGTAGAATAATCATGTATTTGTATATCAATGTTATATGTGTCGATGTTTCTGTTAAGCGCAATGTCTTAAAGAGACGATATGACAATAATAAATTATTGAAGAAAGTTATTTTTGTTTTATTGACTTGTTATAAACTAACAAGATAGCCATAACTAACAACACAGTTCCGAATCATCACCAGAATGACTGCACGGTTGGCGCGATGGCTGGGCAACTGGCTGCCGAGCAACGTGTCGCGGGTTCGATTCCCACACGGAACAACTTTTTGTGTGAGCCACAAATTTTTGTTCCAGGTCTGGGTGTGAAGTGCATGTGAAATTGTGTGTTTGTAAACGCACCCACGACACAGGAGACAAAAAAACAAGTGTAAGGCATTGTTTATATAAAAAAGCTTGGCACGTAACAGATCATCATCAAGCTATAAGTGCGCACTGCTGAGCAAAGCTGTGCTCTTCTCACACGGAGAAGTTTTCAGCATTAATCACAACGCTTTCTCAAGGCGATTTCAGTCTAGGTTTACTCATGATAATTTTCTACGCCGTAGGTACCGTATGTCAGTGGTATCAAAATTTTCATAGAAAGTAGGTAAATAGAACTCACACTCCTATGCATAAGGAGCGGGTAACGTAGATAATAGATATATATATAACCGTGTAAGGGCGTACCATGTTGCGCCTAAACTCTATCGCTTTCATACATTTAATATAGTTAAAAGGTCGCCTTTAGAAAAGTATAATCAGCCATGGTGCCTAGCGTTTCTGGACTATTAGATAGCCTTTGAGTCAATCGAAACCTGGAAAATCAAAATCAAGTCGAAATCGGTGGTGCTGCAGTCTCTCCAGCGGTGCCATGTTAACCGTAGATACATCGAATTGTCAAAGTGTTTGTAAGTATAGAAACGCTACCATGTTCATCCGTCTCCAAGAAAACAACAAAAAAGTAATCCAATTGCAGAAAGGCGTGAGGCAGGGAGATGTAATTTCTCTTAAACTGTTCACGAACGCAGTAGAGAAACGCGGAAACGCAGTTACAAGCTTTTCAATTGGAGTGGACTTGGTATATATATTAATATATATTATTAGTATTAATAGCGAATTCATATCTTTCCTGCGCTTAGCCGTTGATACCATGCTCAGCTAACTCAATACCGTTTCCCAACAGATATCATTTCAAATGTCCATGTTGCACTTGTACCGGCCATCGTTGGGAATGACATCCTTGGTGTTTTAGACCACTACATATACCTAGGTCAGAAATTCAGCTAGGTAGGTCCAACTCCGATAAAGTGGTCACCTGAAGAAACCAACTCGGATGGGCGGCGGTCGGGATGTTACGCGAAATCCCACAGTACCTGTAGACTAGAATGTTCATTCTGTGTGTGTTGTCGGTGATTATGTATGGAACAGAGAAGTGGTATTGGTGTCTGATCTTCTGGCCTTCTAGAGACACTCAGAGTCGCTGAAGCGAGCTATGTCTCTAGGCCTCTTTGCATAGCAATGTGCCAGTGGACAGGCCTCTCATTAAGTGGACCAACGACATCGTCAGAGTCGCGGGGAGCCAATGGATGCAAGTGACGAGTTGTCGTTCGACGTCGATAACTAGAAGGAATACTGTTAAATGGGATACTATATTCAGCAGTGCGCGTCATCTGGCTGATGATGATGAGGATATTATACACAAAATATATTTCTGTTATTCGATGCAAAATAAGAAGGAAGATTACTTTTGAACTGAACTATCTACGATTAAGATACTATGTTGTAAGCTATGCTAAAGCTGTTCAATTTCTGTTTGTACGCAGATAGATACCCAAGTTTTTTTTTTTTACCCATACCCAAGTTACTGCTGGTTATACGTCCGCAATAACTAAACACCATTTTAAAGTGTCACCTTGACGGTGACACTAATGCACGACGCATGTCAAAAAGACGTCAAAGTCACATTGTTTTCATGGTGTTGTGTTGTGTTTCGCTGTATTGCCGTGGTATTTTTCTTATAAATATTAATAAAAATGGTTAAATTCGGCAAAAATAAATTCAAAGCTTTAAACAAAGCCGCCAAAAGTCAAAAAATTGTTGCCACAAGTCCTAATGTATCAAATAAAATCTTGAAAAAGAAAATAAATGCTGAAAAGAAGGTTACGTTTCAAAAAGAGGTTTTGTTAAAAGAAGCAGTTACAAAGGGCGATAACACTCTTGTGAAGAATGTAACAGCTAAGAAAGTAATCCTAAAATCACCAGAGAAATTGGGAAATGTTAAAGACAACGAGCAAAAGAATGTATCCAAACCAAAAACGAAGCCAGTTGAGAAAAAGAAAAAACGACAGAAAACACAACTAAGCGACACTAAATTAATGTTGAAATTAATGAACAACAAGAAATAGAACTCAAGTGCGACAACCCAAAAAGAGAAGTGCACATAATTGCATAAAGTACTTGTATTCTATTCTTACAAATGTGATCTACTGTTGTAGTTTAAATAAGATTAATTTAATAAATAAGTTACATTATATTTTATTAGTTTTATTTCATTGTTAGAAGTTACCTTTATAAAAAAACCTTGTTATATTCATCAAACCCCAAGTGAATGCTGTCTTTGGTGCACCTAATATCTTATTACGGAGCCTCGAATTACCACGATTGAAAGGTCAAAAAATATAATAAACACATCCCGTCGAAACAAAAGAAAAAAATATTTGCTGAATGAGAAAAACCAATACTGAAGGCATATAATTTCAAACATATACTTAATATGCTGATAACATAATGTTAATCATCATAATTAATCTGACTATAGTATTGAAAACCTTGACCCAAGCCAAAAAATCTGCTAAATCTTACCCAAGAAATCTTACCTAAGAAGAAACATTGGCTAAAATTATGAACATCAGAGCTCTCATCAAATAACATATTTACTTTTACTTTATGTAAGTACAATAATATGTTATTGAATACAACCCAAAACATTTCTAGCTGGGGTTGCGGTTGCAGGTCAAGTACAATAAGCCTCAGCCTGGAGCAGAAGGATTTATTCAGTGAGACTGATACCCCCTTTCGCCATACCCTGGGTGAGGGAAGTAATCTGGTGATTTTCCTTTCTCAAAAAGTGTTCACATTTCTTTCATTCATGGGTGCCTACAAGCAGAAATGTCCAATATACAAAAGCATTATTAGATACTAGTTTCTGCCAGGAACAACATCTACAGTACTAGAGAAAAAATAAGCACATGTGTTATTTTAGCCTGTTCACCTTCCTCAGTGGCACATTTTCTAGTTCTATAATAATTATAATTCTTCTAGTGAATGTAACAAACATCTCTATGAACTTGCCCATTATAATATTAGTAGCCATGTTAAATTGGAGAATTCTCAGTAAAGCACAATTTGGAATTAACCAGATTGTTTTGGCAAGTAACTGTCCCATCATTACATTGGACTCAACTGAAAGGGAGTGATTCTGTTCTCCTTTGCTTATCCTCGACATAGAAGCACGAAGTATAACAAGAAAACAACAATAGACATTTTATTGATTTATTTTATTTGAATAATCACATTACACATAGAAAAGGTAAGTCTCCGACATTTGAGACATAGATTGAAGTACACAAGTACTGTAAAACGGGATGAATAGAACTCGTAGTTCGTCGTTCATAACAGTTGTATGTGAACTAAGTTGTACTTTGGACTTTATAATTATGTCGTAAATCTTTTTGTTTTATGGGAACTACCCAGTATATAATACATCAAAGAATACCGTATATAACGGTAAAATAATTAGTAGAGCTCAATTTGAGAAGACCTATAAATAAGCGGAAGTCACATATATTTTCTAATAGTAGAAAATGCAAGCCTACACTAGTATATTATCTAAAAGTTGTCACACTATAATCTACAAGTAATAAAACTGAAATAATTTTGAGATACATTGAAACGAGTCTTGATTACAATAAATTGGCCTAATGCGCTATACAAGTAACTAACTATTTGAAAATGTGCACTAAGAAATGAATGATAAATGAGAGAAGAGAATCAGTTCTGAAAATAAATCAAGAATCTATATCCATATAAATAAGCAAATTATACCATATATTTATCTAATTATACTTGTCTTAACACCTATTTTGGCTTAGACCTGCTACTATAATTTGGATTTAGGAACTAAATCACAATAATTTCTTTATATAATTGGCCTTAAGTTTATGGGTTTAAGTAAACATTCCTTTAATAACTAAACAGCTGGATAAATTGTAATTATTTCATAATTAAAAAAACTATAACTTTCTTTTAGTTTATCATAGATCAGTCCTATGCAAACTCTTCTCTTGGGAAGTTTTTTATCAATAAACTTTTGACAACTGATATTTCACTTGAAACATAAAATTTATGTAACTTTTATGTTGAATTTCCAGCCTAGAAATATATCCTATTTATATAAAAATAATGTAAATAATACACTTTCGTGTAAGGAAGGACACATACTTAAAACATTGCATAATCAAACCATTATAGCTGTCAGGAATTTGTATCTAATAACATACTGACCACACTAACACCCGGTTTCTGAAAGGCTTGTCAATGCTAGAATTAACTAATCTCCTATTAAATCTCTTGTCAAGTAATCTGATTGGTTGTTAATAATTCAGTCAACCAATCAGATTACTTGACAAAAGATTAAATTGATTTAACAATGATCGGCCTTTCGGAAGCCGGGTGGAAATCAGTATAAATATAGCCCTATTTCCTATCTGTAAGATTCATGATCATTATATGCTGTATTCAAAGATCCGTACATGTTAAACAACTCTTATATTATTCCCTTTAACTTAAATGTAGCCAGTTGATAATATTTATGAACATTTAAAACCTTAAAGGCTGATTTTCCAATAGACAGATAAATGTTATCCGACCAATAAAATTGTTGCTGTCACTGTCTTAAACAAACATTCTGATGAGACAGCATCATAATTATTCCGCAGATAACTTATATCTAACCATTGAAAAGTCAGCCCTGTGTCAATAACTAAAATCCCTTTTTTACTTTCCTATCTAAGCAAATGGGTATAGCCGATAGCTTGCAATGAAGATTCCAATTGCTTGAATAAGAATATAAAGTGCTAATTGACATGGTACCGCTAAGTCAGTTCAAATTGAATACAACATAAAATGATCATACAACATACGCTATTGGTAAAATTAATATTGAAATATTATATAAAACTTGTTATATTGTGGTTTATTATAAATATATTATATTTGTCTTACGAGTTAGAAAAATAGGTAAATGAATCATCTATGCACAACATTGATAGCTGATGGGATAATTTATTGGGTCTGCTTCAAAATATTTGATTAGGTCGCTGTTTCACTGTAACAAATTCCTCTGTATATTTTTAATGTTAACTTACAACGTTTTTATTGTAAAGGAGGCTCAAATATAAAAATGAAGACAGACCAATTAGGATTTAAAATTCAAGTCCTATCCCTACATTGACCAAATTGTTATTTACTCATTGAATATTTTGACATTAAATAATTAATAGGGGTGTTTCCAGCAACACGAGACAAATTAGTATAAATTTGGTACAATATTGTACATTGTGACATGATAATATATGTAGTATTATTGTTCATACATTTTATTCATGAATAAGCTACTTTAATAGAAACTACAATAATATATTTGCTCATTCAGTGTGAAACAGCCCAGTAGAAACATATTTTTGTCTGTGGAAACATCCCATATGGTGATTGTGTGTAGTATGGTTCCTAATACCGTCCGCGGCCCCTTCCCCGGCCGCGTCCACGTCCGCGCGGGGAGCCCCGGGGTCGCTCATCCACGGCGGCGACAGCGGCTACTGGTGGTGGAGTCTTAGGTTTCTCTGGCTCCTGCTTCACTGGTTCCTCTTGCTTTGGTGGCTCTGGTGCTGGTTGTTCTTCTTGTGCTGGGCCTGAAATATTCACAATAGGTACACTTAAGACAATTGAAAAACATACTATGTTTAGCATACTATCGTCATAGTAATAAAAACCTCGAAGAGGGAGATAATGGACGGAGACAAAGCAAGACACTGACCAGTAGATAACACTGGCTCACAGAAAACCCGCATGAAGCAACACCTAAATTGTGTTTCGCTGTGTATTTCAGGTTACTGGAGGCTCAATTCTCCTCAATCATCCCCTATCCTTAAATCCCAGAAATCATACAAGAAACAGACAACACACTTCTAGTAAATCCTTTGGTATAACTTGTGTCCATGGGCGGCGATTATTGCTTACCATCAGGTAATCTGTCCTCTCGTTTGCTGATTTACACATAAAAAAAAAAACACTAAAAACGCCCGTGATCATTTCTACCCGCAGTATTGAGGTAGTCACCAAAATGATGTCGAATCTACTTCCAACTAAGTTGGGTACAATGGTTAGCTCAACCTGACTGAGTTGCAGGTCAAGCTGACGGGAGAAGTCACTCAGTAATTTTATTCCCTCCAAAAAAACCTACTTCAATCTACAGAAAGGAGTATGTTCACCTGTTCATGGCCATGACCATGATCACGGAACTTACCATTTTTCTCATCCTCCAAGATCTCATCGACGGTCTGCTCCCAGTTCTCCATGTCCTCGCCACCATCACCACCCTCACCATCCTCTTTGTTCAAGATGGAATCCTCCGCAGCTGAATCCAGGAGTTCATCTTCTGAAAAATGTGTATTTATTAGTACTAGAATTGAAGAGGCTACCGGCGATTGGGACCACAAGAGCTAGGACCGCTGTCCCAGTCGCCGGATCTGTTAAAATTCAATAATTTTGTACCGGCAAGTGGGACCGCGGTCCTAGTTTGTGGTTCCAGTCGCCGGAAGCCTCGAATTGAACAGGATGCTATATTGAATTTTTTCATATTTTTTAGGCTGTTAAAGTCAGCATCAAGTGACTACATGTCAAGACAAATCTTTATTAGCACAGTATCATTCATCATCAGCCGGAAGACGGACAAGGACTCTTAGTCCTCCACGTCGCCATCCATTGACTCCCCCGTCCAAGCGACTCTAAACAATCAGTAGTATTGTAACTAGTGATGTGCCGCATCGTTAGAAATGTATATCCGCGGATACGGATCTATATTTTCTTATTCGATTGGTGTCGGTACCTGCGACCTTAAAACGATAGTTGACGGTACGCTCGCCGCAACATCAGGCCGAACAGGGTTAACTTGCATTGCGCGGGTGCTACTACTACTACATATAGTTTTAGTCATGGTTTAGTGTGACCCTGTACCACATACATTGCTTTGTTAAATGTTTAAGCAGTTTTCCAGTGCAACTTGGAAATATTTTATGATGGTAAATTATGAAAAAAAAATGTTAATACGGTAGTTTCCCTAGTCAAATTCAATACTTTTATCCAAACGTCAAAAACGATAATTTTCTATGAAATTTGTATGAAAAATTGAGCTATGACGTCATAACTTTTTTGCGTTAAATAGCTTACTTATTTCTTAATAATTAGCTAAAAAAAAATCTAAAAATTAGTATATAGATCGATGGATGAATAAAAGTATAGTTATTTTTCAATATTTTATTGTATTGAAACGTCGAAATAATTTATTTTTAACGTAGGAAACTACCCAATTCTATCTGATTACCCGAAAAAGATCTGTAAAATATCTGCGTGCAAAGTAACGGACACGAATTTTTCTTTTCCTTCGGATATCCGCGGATACAGATATTCGGGACATCACTAATTGTAACATCAAGCTTACCTTTATTTTCTTCACCATTCTCATGTCCATTCTGCTCGGTTTCATCATCAACCTTGCGACGCTTGGCATCGGAATTGTCATCAGCGTCCAACGGTCTCTTGTTACTGTTTGTGTCATTACCCTAATAAAAAAAAAACATATTAATTATAAAACAATTAAGTATCAATCAATATAAAATGGTTAACATTGTAATAAAAAAACCTTTCTTTTAAATACTATATAATATGCATGTGTTGTTAAGCGCATAGCTCAACAATGCCTGGACCAATTTAGCCGAATCTTTTTTGTTGTCATTATTATTCAGCCAAGAAAAGTTTCTTATCGAAGAAAATATAAGAAAAGGAAAGGGAAAAGGGACCCTTTCGTGGTTAGCGAGATAGTTGCGACCCAAGCGTGGGTTGGTCAATAGTTCTTAAGCCTTTGACTGCCGACAGAAAAACGTTGAAGGCAAATCCTCCGCTACCGTAGGTCACTGGTGACCTACGTGGCGATTAACGTGTTAATAAAACACAATTTGGTAATACAGTTATCATGCGTGCTTAGGGGACATTCATTATCAACATCACCACAATTTGACATGAATAACAAAATAACATTTAAACATTACATAAAATTTAAAATATAGACGATAAAGGATTGTTTTTTGTATAAAAAACGTTGCCCGACACTAGGAATTTATCCTGTGTCGTGGGTGCGTGTACAAACTTATAATTTCACATACACATCACACCCATAAAACAACAATTTGTGGATGTTGCACAAAGTGTTGTACCGTGCGGGAATCGAACCCGCGACACGTTGCGAGGCAGCCAGTTGCCCAGTCACCGCGCCAACGGTGCAATCGATTAAATTAAGGTAATCACACTTTAACACTATTAAAATAATCGTTTACATTCAGTAATAGTTAACACCACCCTATGAAATAAAGAATTAAAACAATATTGATAAAAACTTAACAGGGAAAAAGATAGTTTTACGAACACTTATAATAATAACAAATATTATAGCATGCCGTTTTTTCTCACAACTGTGAGACTGTTCTCTCTAACATAAAACATTTGCACATACATGCCTTACAAGAAGAAAGGAGTATCTATACACAAATATTATATTAACAGTTTGTTTTGTTTAGATGAAGAATTGAGAATTTCGAAAGTAATTTCTTTGACTTACAATGCAATCGATCAACAATTTATCATTTTAACATAACTTTTTGGTGTACTTATTAAACGTTACAAATCTCTTTTACACCGGGTTTCTGAAAGGCTTGTCAACACTAAAATTAACTAATCTCCTATTATATCTCTTGGGAAGTTATCTGATTGGTTGTTGATAATTCAGTCAACCAATCAGATACTTGACAAGAGATTAAATTGATTTTAACATTGATCGGCCTTTCGGAAACCAGGGGTTAGTCTGTCAAAATTGGTAATTTTTGGCTCTTTTTCTATAAAAAGTAATATTTGTACATTTTTTTATGGGATTCGGCTGGAACCAATTTTTGGGTCACTCCAGTCGTGCCGACCCATTCGTGTCGAAACATTGATTTTCCGCATTTTTATAAAACAAATTTAATCATAGGTAAATAATAAAAATGAAAATTGTTTTAGAAAGAGATTTTGTTTATAGATTATTAAAAGTAATGTTATAATAATGTTTATCGGTCGCATTGATTCAACAATAGGAGTCCTATCAACATGTATCATGCACTCTGTATCCATACCGATGTTCCTGCTATCGGGTACGGGTATGGCTAAACGGATGTTTAAATAAATCAATATTAGCATAACACTCTTATATAAATATGGATAAATCAATCTCTTAATATTTAGATATTTGTACAGAGTAGTTGATTTAATATTTGTAGCAGCTGCTTGGACATCAAGGAGATTGAACAAATATATAACTGTCTCATCCATTTCTGAGTGAGTCTATTACCGGTTAAAAGTTGGAGGTATTATCCATTTTCTTATTTACACATACTTACACACATTATTTTAAATATGTAATCACTCAGTTGTGAGGTTAAACAAAACGAAGTATAGTCCGGCCTAAGGACACATATCAACCGGCCAAGAAAAGGATATTTTCTTTTACAGTTTTTCTAATAGATGGATATGGCTTCCATAATATATTTTAATTTTTAGTTGTTTAGTAATAGTAGTAGTAGTAGTTTTTACTGTGTTAATCTATAAGTTGAATTTTCTCAACAAATTTAAAAACATTGTTTAAGAACTTACCAATTGAGTGCCACTCTTCTCAGCAAGGAGTCTGGTGAAGAGCTGATGATGTCTCCAAGTCCGGAGATGGACCTGAGCGGTCTCATCAGTATCCAGCAGCTTGCGGCAGAGGCTGCATTGTACGCAGCGGAACTCGGAGAGGAATGAACCGCCTACACCACGTTCAGTGCTGTTGAAAATTGAAGACAACATAATAAATAACAAGCTCATAATGTCGTTAGAAGTAGAGGAGAAATTATATTAGCTGACAATAATTTTTTGCCACTATGTCATACACAACATATCAACAATATGGTAAAGATAAAAAATATAGTTATATTATATAAGAAACAGTTTTAAAAGGTAAATGTTAGTTAGCAGGTGGTTGTAAAATCTTTGTCGAATATAAAGTCTTTTAGTTGGCTGACGAAAAAAAATTAGAAGAGAGCAGTTTAAGTATAGGAGAGCCATGCTAGGAAACGAATGGCCGACAGAAAAACGGAACCACACTTGCGTTATGTTTCGCGACTTTTCCCCCACTTTCCAACCCCTAACCCAAAAGGATTGCAATGCTTCTGGTGTATTGGGTCTTTGTTATCAGGTGATTATTTTGCTTGTTTTGCCGTCTCAACCCATAAGATCACAAAATTGAATGTTTTCTAACCATATCGTTATTTTAACACCACTTGTTTCAAGTCCTATGCAATAAGTTACCTATATAAAAGGATGAAAAAATTAACTTCAGTTACATTACACCTACCTGTAAGCAGGGAACATATCCTGGGTGGCTCCGGTCAAATCATCACCCTCCTTGTAATCCAGAATGGTCTTTTCATTATCCAGCTTGGACTTCTTCTCTTCTGCATCACCCTCAGGCTTGGCTTCACCTTCCGCCTCATTCTTAACTTCATCCTGTATTCAGAATTCAATATAATATTATAAATGCGAAAGTAACTCTGTCTGTCTTCTTCACGCCTAAACTACTGAATCAATATCTGTGATTTTTTGGAACTCGAGAAAGGACATTGGATAGTTTTTATACCAAAAATCTGCAGAGAGTCACTATTCCACGCGGGCAAAAGCTAGTACAAAATACATTTAGAATAAAATTAAAAGAACCTGTGAAGATTTATGAAAATAATGACCTATTAAAGTGAAGTAACTGAGAAAAGATCTACTAGTTACAATTCAAAATCTTTAATTCCAACTTAATCGCACACATTTAATTAAGTAAAAGTCACAACGGGACTCTTATTCACGACTAGCTTATCGGCAGAGCGTCGAAGTCTGTCCTAGTTTCGGATATTTAAGAATTGAGAAGGGACGGTGGGAGGGGGAGGGATTGGGCCTCCGGTAACCACACAGCGAAACACAACGCCATGGTATCACTCCGGTCGACCCGACCCATTTGTGCCGAAGCTTGGCTGTCGCACACTTAAGGAGTCCCACTTGTTAAAGTTTAAAGAACTTTATCTATTTACAAACCTGGTTTTCTCCTTCTCCATCCTTAGCCTCAGCATCATCACCATCTTTGTCCGTTCCATTCTTGTCATCGTTGCGGCGACGACGCTGCCGATCCTCGCGCAGGTACATTTGCTCCATGTTCAGGGTCGAGATAACCATCACTGAGGCAGAAACAATAAAGTTGTAAACTTGTAATACATGTTAAATAACTAGTTTTCTATTAGAAACTGAAAAAAAAATACTGACTTTGGTTGCCACAAGAATGTTCTAGATTGAAAAGACTATTTGAATCGCACATACCCACTTCTTTTTTTTAAACATTTTTATTTCTCAGAGGCACATTAAAAGCAACTACAATAACGCCAACGTATCTTGGCGAGTCTGAAGTTAGCCGATTAGCTGCCCAGTACACAATTTTGTTCTTAAAGATCCATTGCGCAGACAAACGGCTAACTTCAGACTCGTCAAGATACGTCGGCCGTACTGTACATTTCACCAAGATCTCTCTTACCAATCACACTCAGCTTACCAATAACAAAATTAATTAATATTCTTTCTATGATTTAGGTGTTTCATTTTTGTGGTAGAACAGCAAACAATCACACTGATTACCTGATGGTAGGCTATCAATGCCGCCCATAAACACCCACAAAACAGAGGAGATAAGAGTATGTTGCCAATCTTTTGGGATTACAGTTGTGAAGATTTAGGGATTGGGGGACGGATTGGGTAAGTAGGGTAGATCTAAAACTCAAAACCCCCTTATTACAAAACAAGATTTATCTTTAGTCCAGGTTTAAACCATTGAGTCGGGTTTTGAATTTTGAATGTTATTGTCATCTACCTTCAATTCAAAATACAAAAACTGGCTCAATGGTTTAGTCCTAGACTAAAGTAAAACCTTGTTTTGTAATAATGCCGAAAATGACTATTGCTTTTAATCACGAGCCCTCAGTCACGAGAGAAGCCATAGTTTGCCTGTCACAAATACTTAATTCATGCTAAAGACAAGAAGTTTAGGACGATTTCCTACTTACCCTCAGGCTTAGGCTTGGTAATAATCTCCTGCTTATCCTGCATATTCCTCAAATGCTCGGCAGTGAGGCGATGCTCGTCGAGCTCGATCCTGGTGGGCATCTCCTTGTGGCAGGATGTACAGGTGGGATGCAGGTACTTCTTCAGCTTGCGATGTCCCACAGTGGTTCGGTGGATGGCTCCGTCAGCCGCGTACATGTCACACATCGCGCAGTAGAAGTCCCTGGCTGGCTGCTGACCTGCTTTACGGGTGCGTTTCATCTCGCGGATCTAGGAGACAAATGTTTTTTTTAAGGTGGAGTTTGTTGTGTAGCTTCATAAGGCAATATAACACAAACATTTGGTTGAGGTGTGGTACGCAGATTGGCGAAACCCTGAATTAATACATAGGCTGCTTTTTATCAACATTCAACATACATACAACGCGGGCGCCGCCCGGGCGGAAGCTAGTCATGTCAAAAACTATGAAAATTACCTTGAACTCCTGTCGCATGGTATCCGCGGTTAGGGCATAGCTCTCCGCAGTCTTCGTCATCATAATGGCATGAGCTCGTCCACTCAGATGGTTCTCAAAGGACCTGCCGTCCCACATGCTCTTGTTACAGATGTGACACTTCAACAGCTGAGGGTTGATGTCATCGTATCTGGTCTTCGGAGCCTCCTTCTTGGTGTCATCACCCTTCTCCTTATCTTGTTCAGTTGAAGCAGCATCATTCTTCTCTTCTGTTTCACTGCGGGGTGGTTTGCTGGTAAATAAAGTGCAAATAGTATAGAAGTATTACCCACTTACGGGACAATATCTATGCAGGTTGTAGCACACGTTTATTGACATAGTAAATTAGCAATACACTAATAAGGAGGCCAGGCGAGTTGTGTTGTGTTCAGTATCTGTATTGGAGACATCTTTCCATAATGTTAAGTTGTAAAGATTGCAACAATTGTGATGTTTTCAATTGTCCATTTCCATTAAAATTGTCTAGCTGTATATGGATGTAATCTTCCTTTCCTTTAGTTGAAGATGAAAGCTTTTGAATGCTGTTAATTAGTAAATTCAATGTTATTACACACTTACCAATATGACACATGGCTAAGGTTTATGAATCCATTACAATCCATAGGAGGTAGCATTAAACAGTATATAAAAACAGGTGCACAAACCAGTACAGGGCAGTGCACCCAGGGTTATGAAATTCCAATTGTCAAGTCCAATAACAAACCAACATACAGTATAGACAGGTATCTAGGTATACCTGCCTATGGTGAAGACAATTTTTCACAGAAATATAAAGCAAAACTTTCGAGATTTGTCACAGAAATATATTTGCACCTCAGATGAGGCAGAAACTATTGTAATGCCAATTCGGCTAAAGTTCAGAGGCCGGTGAACGTAAAGTGTTAAGAGATTTATTGCTGTGAGGCTCGGCCCCAACAGGGGCACAAGAAATTCGGTGTCACCACCGGAAGGAAACATTCAGGGTTCCTTACCTCTCCTTAACAGGTTTAGCCTTTGAATCGGCCTCCTTTTTCGGGGAACTCTTGTTTTGTTGCCTTTGCCCATCATTGGGCCTATATGGTTTACGATTGTTGTTGACACGCTCACCGGAGCGATTGTAAGTTCCCGTACGCCGGAAATTACCTTGATTGCCCATCTAAAGGGAATTGATCAGAACATGTGTGTTAGTAAGAAGTCTGCCAGGCTCTACGAGCCATGAAGAGATGCTGAAATTTGAAATACTTCAGATTTGTCATTAAAATGTGATTATGAAATTATTTGCACTATAACTGAAGATTCTGGGATCCAGCAAAGAGGCTCTCAGTAAATTATATTTTCTCATGCATGAAAATAATGGAGGAATTAGGTACTAGATAATATAAACATTAAAGCAGGAAAAGTTTGCACAAGATCTAACATTTTCAGTTCTGACAGAGTATTTATAATACCAGACAGTAAAGAAATTTGAATGATGCATAGGTCATTGCAACTGTAAAATATAATTTATACTGAAGTCCTACTCCTGTAGCTTTCCAAACCCTTTTTAAAAGATTGTACTTACCCTGGTAGGTCCGTAACCACGATCATACCGACCCACATTGGGCCCGAAATCACGTCTGATAGGCATGTCGAGGAGTGAGGGGACAGGGTTCTGACGAGGTTGTAGAAGATTGATGATGTTGTTGGCTAGAGCGAGAGTAGCCTCAGTAGAGCCCCCTGAGAGGGGGAGCAGGTTGGGCATGCCGCCGCCAGGGCCGCTGCCCTGCCACGGCGACACTCCGCTGCGCCCGAAGTTCTTCCCGCGATCATTGCGTTGGAAGTCCATACGACGCCCACTGTTGCTTTGCGGTCTACGATTCGCCATCTTGTTATCTAGACCAGAAAATGTAGCTAGCAAACATCAGATTGTATGAGCATACTAGTGAACGTTGTTTCGCGTGGTATTTAATTTAGCGTTATTAGAAAGTAGAACGTAGCCGGCCGGCAGCGATGAGCTAATTAATGGACCCTGTATTTATTTTCTAATATTCTTGTTTTATTAAAATAACGCAGTTAATGCATTCGAAATACACAATAAATTAAAAACTCTAATATAAAATGTTATTATTTACATAGAAGATAAAGAAAGCATAAAACAACACAAAAACGCTGCTTACGTAGCCTTTTTCGTAATTGATTTTCCTAACATTCACCGTGTCGTATTCCATATCGAAAGATTCAAGTCTTAGGAACTTAAATTAGGGTTAATACTTACAAAAGAAAAGCTCGAAATATCTCCGCAAAAGGATAGCACCAGCACAAACAATTTATTATGAGTAAAATTAAAATATTTAACGCCGAGACACCAAGCCGAGCGCCGCCGTAAACGTCAAATGTGACAAAGATGGCCGCTGGCAAACCGCGACGCGACTCATCGATATCAAACGGATCAATGGTTTTTGAGCATTACGCTGTTAGGTGATATGGCGTGGCGTTAGTGTGTTTTGTATTGATTTTTTTTTACCAGAGACAGACGATTTCTTTCTGCTTCTTAGACTAAATGTTGACTGGTAGGTAGGTAAACGAAGAAAAAGCTTTCAGACAGGCAATAAAAGCCTCAATTAACATTTTAATATATTATTAAATCGTTTATAATGATAATGAGAATATCATTACATCGTTGAATAATAATATCATTTTAACTATTGAGATGCTAAGCTTATTTATAAGATAATAAGAGTGAATAATTGTGATTTACGGTACTTCTTAACTATGCACGTATTTTGGTTTTGTATTGCAAACAATTAAAACTCACCTTTAGAATGATAAGGGCAACACTGGTTTTGCTGTCAAGAGATTTGACAATGTTATGTGACATTGGCGTTTATGCGGTGTGTTTTTTGGGATTTGCTATTGAAAAACAGCCCTTATTACATGGCCATAAAGTCATGTCATTCTCAGATGTTTGTTAGATAATAAAAATCAAGATCGAGATAGAGGTTGTTTAGAAGAATAAATATATTCCAAACCCACGTTAAACTGAATTATATTAGTGCTGAAAGCGGATACCATCCTCTTCTGTGGCTAATTTTATCCAGGTGTAAAGAAAACTTAAAAATGGACGACTTGGAAAACGAAAATGAACAAAAGCGAACGAAGGTAGGACGTTTTTCTAGAAAATTTCTGTAAATTTGTATTTCGACCGATATTTAACTTGAGGAATACCTTTAAAGTAGCTCTGGCCTTTGATTCGAGTGTTATGACATGGTGTAATACCGTATAAATTGAATAAGTAAAAAAAATACCACGCAAGTTGCAAATAATGTTTCAACTTTGTTTACAGTTCGTTCTATTGTTTATAATCTCTTTAGCTAATGCTTTAATATTTTATAAATGATTAACACAACTATTTATAAATGAAACTGCTTCTAAATATGTATAGACCTAATATTTTTTTACTGCCTATTTAATAGTCAGAATTAAATTGTAAATTACTTGTTTATATTCTTTAAATACCCTGTGGTAATATGTAAACTTGTAGCGTCTTAAATAGACAGCTACAATTCTCATGAATATTCCTTTTTTTGTTAACAATAAATTAATTGTAACTATAATCAAGCTGCATCAGAAATGTGGTTAAGGCTTCATTAGGTTTAGTCGAAAAAAACTTTTCAGCACATTGAACATTTTGCTTTCACTTAGAGCTGTCAGTAAACAGCGTGAATAAGAGGATGGGACAGCAGAATTAAGAAAACAATGAAATAGTATTTTATCAATAGATCACTTTTCTCCACCTGGGTAAGGTGAGAAGGAATGTAAGACCCTTTCGGACTTGTAAGCAATCTATAAATAAAAAAATAATCTATGAACCAAGGTAGCAGATTTATTGCGCTTGCATTTGTACTCCCCACTGGATGACAGCTTCAAGCCAACAGAATCTCTTTTCTGCTTCACACAGATCACATCTCTATGTGATACAAAAATGAATAGCTTTTTGCGTCTGAAAATTACTGTCCTCTGAATCTCTTTAATCTATATTGTAAAGCAAATGCTATAAAGTATTTGATATTATAAATTTCTTCTTCACATGCACACAGACTCACATATTTATTAGCATAGATTAATTTATGAATAATGATAAGAAATAAATTTATTAGTCCACTTGTTACAATTAGGTACATTAGGTCTTTATTGAAGTAACTTACATTGTAAATGATTGTTACCAAGAGTGCCGGTATGGAGAAAAGCCCTGTTTATAAAATATAGAATAAAAAATAAGAGTACATTATTTATTACAATATTATACATACAGCTAATAGACCACCACAGACGTCAGTAAGAGTCTGACACTCTCTCTCGCCTTACCCTGGGCGAGAGAAGTCATTTAATGATTTACCCCTATTTAAAAAAGTGGTCCCCAAACTAGGCTATGGCCTGTATCTTGTGTTGTGTGTCAGTTTTAGATTAATTTGGATATGCAAACTTTTTACTCTTCTGGGTCTATGACTATATAATGTGGTTTCTGATTTCTATACTTAAATAAAGTAGCTAAGTATAGCCCATAATAATAATGCTTGTAAATAAAATTTATAAAAATGTAATACCATGTTTTCATTAAGAGGTTTGATTTTAAAACATGTTTCGATGTTTGTCTGATAAACTTTGAACTGTGTACTTTGAAAATGTACTTAAATAGTGTTCAGTGATCATAATTCTAATTATACAGAAAAGTATGTTTTTATCTTTTGTAGTAAATTCAACATATTTTTATTTTCTATAATATCCATTATGAAGTCTACACTTTAAAAAGTTTATTGTTAAATTAGGGGCACTTATAAATTGATACTCATGTTTAAAAAATCCGATATGTAATGATTAATGATTACTCTCATTTGAAATGTGATTAAATCAAATAACCAATGTGGAAGAAAATTTTGGACTACTGATTTGACTTGGAAATGACTTAAAAAAAAATCCATGAAGCAAAAATATGTAACATATGTATGTATTCTATGTAAAGGGTTTAGAGGACGGGTCTAGCTAGGCTTTAGTTTTAGAAAAAAAGAGTAGAGAGGCTGTACCTTTTTTACTGAAACTCTCTTCAGCTTAACAATATTAGCATAGGACTTGAACCATCTTTATTTTATAAGTATACTAGCGACCCGCCCGTGCTTCGCACGTATGTATATTTGACATTAAATCTATTCACTAATTAAGTTCTTTTCTCTTCAACCACTATCTATTGGAAAAAAAACGCATCAAAATCAGTTGCGTAGTTTTAAAGATTTAAGCATACATACATACATATACAGGGACGGAGAAAGCAACTTTGCTTTATAGTATGTAGTGTAGTGATGATGATCACCAGTTCCTGATTTGTTATATTATCAACTTCCAGAGTCGCAGTCCCTCTCCAGGCATCAAATCGACAGCGGTGGTGAAATACACCGCCTTCCAGAGCCCCGTGGGCTACGCTCGTTTACAATGTAACACGGATTTGAACATGCCTCCCTCCAACTGGGGGGCGGCCATTGACTCGTATGGACTGAAGCAGATATTGACGAGGGGCACTGGGCTATCCAGGTATGTAATTTATTGGATTATTTATGTTGAATTTTTTTTAGTCGGAAAGATTATGTATGCAAGAATTATATCTTTTTATATATAAATACTAGCTATTTACTCGCTGGTCGGCTCCTATGGATGTAACCGCTCTAATGTCAAATAGACAAAATATCTATATTTTTTTAACTTCTAATACAATCTTCCTTGTCGTCTTCAGCTTCAGGATGGCGCACATGTTCCCTGACTGCGTGGGGGAGGTGGACGTGATATCAGGTGCCGAGTGCATCAAGAAATTACTCAAGTTACCGTACCAACCCAACGGAACTGTAAGTATTTCGTACATTTTTTTAAAGAGTGCGAGATCTCTGCTTTGCCACGATGGGACCGGCTCGACCGGAGTGATACAACGGCCTCAAAGAAAACCAGCGTGAAATAACCAGTGTTGTGTGTCACCGCGTGAGTGAGGTTACTATAGACCCGATTTTGCCCCTCCTTCCACTCCCCCAATCCCTAAATCACCTAAATCCAGTCCCCAAAAGGTTAGTAACGTACTCGTAACTCCTACGTTATTGCGAGTGTCCGCGAGCGGTCCTGATTGCTTACCATCAGGTAATCCGTCTGTTAGTTTGTCGTACTATCACACAAAACAATTGCGGATAACTAAAGCGTTGTGATTCAGCGTCTGAATCACAACGCCGCTACTGGTGGCTAAACCACCCGCTACAAAAGCTGGCAATTAGTTCGCACTTGTATGTCCATGGCCGGTTTTGATTGGTACCAGAAGGTACCAGATGGTAAGCAGTCGGCGCCGCTCATGGAACCCGTAAAACACCAAAGCAGTTGCTAGTGCCTTGCTGGGTTTTAGAGGATAACGGTTTCGGATGTTTAAAGATTGGGGAGAGGAGAAGGGCAATCCCTTTCCCTCTTGCCAACTTCCCGTAACCTCGCTCACATGGTGAAACGCAACGCTGTGGTTATTCACGCCGGTTTTCTTGAGGCCGTGGTATCACTTCAGTCAAGCCAACCCATTCGTGCCGAAGCTTGGCGCTCATACACTTAACATGAATATGTTTGTTTGGTCATTTTCTGTTATAAAAAATGATATTTTTATGTATTTAAACTATCCAAATGCTTATTATAGGTAAGTATGATGGTGCACCGCGTCGAGAATACTCTTCTTTTGGACGATTTCGACGTGTACGATTACCTGATGAAGTCCGAGTGGTCCTGGCTGAAGGATTTCTTCTACGAGAACATTTTGAAGACCATGTCTGAGCAGGTATGTTTGCATTTTGCTAGTCGTAAAAAGTAATATGATATTTTTTAATTTTGAAGTTTCGAGTAGTTTATTAAGAGCTCCTGTAAAGCTCTAAACTAAGTCATGTTAATAAAAAGTATTTTATTTCTCAGTTATATAAATATTATTGTAATAGCTTACGTCTGCGACTTTGCTCGCGTGTTGTTTTGACAAAAAACAGCCTATATGCTATTCCACGATATTACCTTTCCACATACCAAATTTCAACTAAACCGGGCCAACCGTTTAGCTTGAAAGAATAACAAACATACATCCATATTAAATACTGACAAACTTTCATATTTATAATATTAGTAGGATTAGGATAGTAGGATTAGTAGGATAGTAGGGTTAGTAGAATAGTAGGATAAGTAGGATTAGTAGGATACTTAGTAGGATTACCCACCATATTTTCATCATAGTACCATTTATTTTGATTAAATTTACTTACATGTTAATAATAATAATGTTTGGGTACGTTGGTGTAGGAGCGCATGTCCCTGCGTCTGTCCCCGCCGAGCTCTGCGCTCCAACTGACGCACAAGTTCCTGTCGCACAGCGTCGCTGACCGCGTCGCCGCCGCCCCGCAGCCCATCCCGCATATATCCGCCTCAATGTGTCTCGCTGACAAACGTAATACTACATTTTATTTTATTTATTTTAATTGTATACTGTTACAATATGAAAACTTTGTATTGAAAATTATATTTATTGTAATATTCTTAGAAAAATTTATAAATACTGTTTTTGAAGCGATGCGTCGGTAAAAGACCAGACGGATTACTTGATGGTAAGCAATCGGCGCCATCATATACCAAAGGAGTTGCTACAAGTGCGTAGCCGGCCCTTTGTTCCTGTTTAAAGTCTGAAGGATTGAGGATTAGGGGATTAAGCATGGGACTTCGGTAACCTCGATCATACAGTGAAATACAACCAACGGTTCACTCCGGTCAAGTCGGCTCATTCATGCCGAATCATGACTTTCCTACACTGAACATATAACAGAAATTCAATATATTTCTCCTACAGGCCCATTCCTCCCTGAACCAGAGACACGTGCGGAAGAACCGCCAAACGAACACTTATACAACCGCAATGTACTCTGGACCTTTGAGGACATCCATATGCTCATTGGGAGCGACCTGCCCATCTTCGGAGACAAGGACCGACCCTGCGTCAGTCTTAGACTCAGGGACACGAGGGAACCCATCAATGTCCTCACCGGGATTGACTACTGGCTGGACAACCTCATGTGCAACGTCCCTGAAGTCCTCATGTGTTACCATCTTGACGGAATAGTCCAGAAATATGAACCGATGAAAACTGAAGACCTGCCCAATATGGAGAATTCAAAATTCTCGCCAAAAGTTATAAGGAATGTTGCTCAAAATATCCTGTCTTTCTTAAAGTCTAATGCGACTAAAGCTGGTCATACTTACTGGCTGTTCAAAGGACCTCATGATGATGTGGTGAAACTATACGACCTGACGTCTCTATGTCCGGATAGTTTGGATAATCCGTTCACGACTCCGGTGGCCATGCTGCTGTACCGCGTGGCCCGAAATATGCGCATGACGAACAGGTCCAAACATGTCCGCCAGCTGTTGGAACATGTCATTGAGTTGCTGAAAGAAGAGAGGTATCCTCAAATCATAGCGTCCTCCCACTATATGCTCGCTGATTTATACGTACCCGCCACTACGAATCCTGCTAATCCAGATTTTAAAGGTAAGCATACGTTTTTTCAACTAATATTATAAATGCGAAAGTAACTCTCTGTCTGTCTGTCTTTTCTTCACGCCTAAAATACTGAACCTATTTGGATGTTTGGTTCAGACATAGTTTGGAACTCGAGAAAGGACATAGAATAGTTTTTAAACCAAAAATCTGCAGGAAGTCACTTTTCCAAGCGAACAAAGTCGCGGGCAAAAGATAGTTTGATATAAACGAGCAGACGGATTACCTGATGGTAAGCAGTCCACAACGCCATGAACATCTGTAACACCAAAGGCATTGCAAGTGCGTTATCGGCATTATGGGAATAAAGAGTTTTGTAGGATTCAAGGATTGAGGCGGGCAAGTAGTAGGGGAAGGGTTAGGCATCCGATAATCGCAGTAACACGGCGAAAAACAACGCTGTGGTTGTTTTAAGCCGTTTTATGTGAGGCAATTCTGGTCTAACCGGCCCATTCGTGCCGCAGCATGGCTCTCCCACATTGTCTTAATCTTTTCTGTTCTAGTGTTTTTTTTGAGGGAGAATGTCATTGAGTTTTCTAGTCCTGGGCGTGGTGGGAGAGCGTGTCAGACTCTTTTTTGGCAAAAAAGCACCCGGTTCCTTCTTCTGCTCCAGGCTGGGGCGTACATTGGCGCTTGACCCACAAATTAACATCAGCCCCAACTATTCTAATGAACTTTCTTTTTCTATTTCTTTCTTCTAGAAGAAAACACAGACTCAGATTGTGAAGATCCAGATTTCGCGAACAGCGATTATCCTCCTCAAGCGGAAGACGTCAGTTCAGAGAACGCAGAAGATACCGAAGTACCAGAAATGGGAGGATCCGAAAAGGGAGAGGGATCTGAAAAAGCGGAGGAATCTGAGAAGGGAGACGGTTCCGAAAAGGGGGATGGATCTGAAAAAGGGGAGGGGTCAGAGCATGTCGAGGGATCTGAAAAGGGGGAAATGTCTGATGCCGAAGTAGAATCTGCCCTTGCGCTACAAATCCGAGGTTTGGCACTCAGAGATATAGGGGATAAGGTTCGGAATACTGTTGAGGTGAGTTCATTCGAAAGTGTTACTTATTTTGCAGTGAATAAGTGTTAATTTGGTGTAGACCCGTTTATATTTTAAATTACTTTCTATATTATTATGTATTATGATAGAATTTGTACAAGCAAACTATTTCAATCTACCAGATTATCAACCTTAAACAATATGGTAGTTTCCAACTAGTCCGATTCAATACTTTTATCCAAATGTCAAAAACAATACTTTTCTATGAAATTTACATGAAACACTGAGTTATAACGTCGTAGTAATTTTGCGTCAAATAGCTTACTTATTTCTTAAAAATTTGCTAATAAATATCTAAAACTTAGTGTATCGATCAATCCATTAATAAAAGTATTGAATGGCTATGTGTTTTTCTGTATAGGACTGACTTGTTTATTAAAATATATTGTACTAACGCCCGTACGTGGCTTTGCCCGCTGTATGTTAATAAAAAGCAGCCTATGTATAATAGCCTAATCCAGGGTATCACCTATATACCTCACACTTAAACATCCCAAATTTCAACCAAAGCGGTCCCATCGTTTTTGCGTGAAAGAATAACAAACATTCTCACAAACTTTCGCATTTATAATAATAGTAGGATTAGTAGGATTGTTGGATTAGTAGGATTGTAGGATTAGTAGGATTGTTGGATTAGTAGGATAGCAAGATAGTATGATTAGAAGGATAGTAGGATGTCTTGTCTATACCTTTCTTTTTTTATCTTAGGAGCGTAAGCAGTCTGCGTCGGCAGGTAGCGGGGTGGGCACTGCGCCCCCCGACCGCTGTGGGCGTGCCCTCTCGCACGCACTAAAGGGACTCCAAGCCCTGCACCATGTCACTATACTCAAGTCCAAGGTACGTATCAATATAACTTAGTAATCATCATCATCTATAACAACAATATATACATCATCAGCCTATAAGTGCCCACTGCTGAGCAAAGGCCTCTTCTCACACGGAGAAGGTTTGAACATTAAACACCACGCTTGATATAAGAACTTGTTGTAAGAAATTTTAAGTCCAGGTTTCCTTACGATGTTTTCTTTCTGCGTATGTCAGTGGTGTCTAAAAATTGGTAAAATGTGCATATAACTCGAAAAAAGTCACATCGGTACTTACCAGGTTGCGAACTTAACCGCTTTAATTTATGTTCTTTTACGCCGGCGCGGTGTACTGTGAGGTATTGGTATGACTTCGGCCGAGTTGGCCCATGGCTCTCCCACACTTAAAAGGGAATCAACACAATGTCTAGCTTTGGTAGGCAGCATGATCACCGAAAGCTTAGAAGACGACGAATTAATTTTACGCTTTACAATTTTTTTTTCTCCCATACAGGAAGAAGAACGCGAGCGAATCAAACAACAAATAATAGTAGAAGAACAACACCCCAAAATGGCGAATCCTTACGAACCAATCAAAATGAGTTACGAACCAATTACTAAGTCCAAAACCGAAGCCAAAGAGCACACGTCCCGCAGCCGACGGCGCAAACGCGAGAGGAAACAAAGCGAGAAATCCGGCAACTGCCTAATTGAAACCAAATCTAATATTGACAAAAATGCCATACAGATATTAAAAGATAAAAAGATCTACCCAACCTGGCATGAGCCGAATCGCGACGACAATTTCGCTTGGAAACTACATCTTAAGACTTTGTTGTATGAAAAAATTTGCCTCGCTTACGCCACTTTAGCAGAATACAGCTACGCGAACGAACAATATGGCTTTTCACTCAAATACATCGACATGGCAAGCAAATGCCAGAAATTGTTATCGAATATGATCATTAAGAGTAAAGTTGTGGACGCTGGGTGCTTGATCGGTCGTGTTGGTGACAATTATTTCCAAATGTCCAAGAATTGGCATCGTTTGGAACAGTTTAGGAAACAGTTCGGTACCGACCACGATATCGATTCTAAGATCAGACTTGAGTTGGAAAGTGACATGACTGAGGAAGTTGAACATGCTGTGAATGATGAGTTTGAGTTGGGTGAGTTATCTTATATTTAAATTCTTGCGTCACATTGTTAGTTACCTAATACCTTACTCCTCCTAAACGGCTTAACTGATCTTTACCAAATTTTGTAAGCATATTCTGTTGGTCTGAGAAGCGGCTAGTGGATATTTTCCATACCCCTGAATGATAAGGGTTGTTTACCATTAAAAATGTTTCTTTCAAAATAATTTTAATGGAAAAACTACGCTTGACGGGTTAGCCGTTATTTTATAAATCATTTCTTTTTAAAAATTGTAGTGGTCTACCCCTGTTTTTCACGGGTTTATTTTGTGAATTAAATGCCATAACATCGGAAAGGTATTTCAAGAGGATTGACTGGCAGACTGACACATTTTTTATTTAAATTTTGTTTGACGTTCAAAAGTGCCTGTAAGACTTCTTGACTTTTTGACTTTTGACTTTGATTTGTGATAAATACTTAATAAATAATTTGTTGTCTGTATCTGAAATCGAATGAAATAATGTTGTGTGTGTGTGTGTGTAGACATCTCCCTGCCGTCGAGCGAGGTGTCGGCGATGTTGATGTCGATGTCGGCGTACCGCCAGGCGGCCCGCGGGCCCGCGCCGCGCCGCGCCGAGCTACTGCGCCGCCTCGCCTCCGTCGGCAACGAGCTCGCCGTCAGGTACATGAACGATGGACAACGTAAGTTTACAATTTCCATTCATATTACATGTTGCTTAGTGCGAGTTTTCTTTGCGTTAAGTTTTGATTAGATAGATTTTTCTACTACTAGATAGATAACTAATCAATCAGAGAGGTAAACACGGTATTTTGTTTTTTGTCATAGGCCGGCAAACTAGCTGACGGATTACCTGATAGTAAGCAATCAGCACCGCCCTTTTGTAAGTTATTAGGATTTAAGGATTGAGGATGGGAGCTGTGATAATTGGGCCTTCGGTCACTTCACTCACATGGCGAAACACAACGAGTCCGTTGCCGTTGCAACGAGACTTTTTAGGGATTAGGGATTGTGGGAGGGGAATAATTGGGTCTCCGGTAACCCCACTCACACGGCGAAACACAACGTAAGTGTTTTCTATGAGGCCGTGGTATCACTCCGGTCGAGCCGACCCTTTCGTGTCGAAGCATGGCTCTCCCACATGTATACATATACCTAATACATGATAATTTTTCAAATACATAATCTTTCTTTATAATCTTCATGACAATATTATGTATATAATTGTTTCTTCTCCCTCCAGAGATATACATGAGATACCTTGAAGAAGAGGACCCAGAATCTCGAAGCGCGAAGCTCCTACTAAAACAGTTCATGTCGACGTCACGTAAATCGCTCGAGTGTTTGGACGAAGCCACCGAAATATTCAAACAGGTCAACGACATACCTAACTTGGCGCTCCTCTACTGCAACAAGGGAAGGTACCTGAGGTACAGGGCGCATTGTGATCAGGGAGGCTTCAGGTGAGATAATTTTTTTATAATATTATAGGTCGTCAAACGAGCAGACGGATTACCTGATGGTAAGCAATCAGAGCCGCCCATGAACACCCGCAACACCAAAGGAGTTACAAGTGCAATGTCAACCTTGTAGGGAAAGGATAGGGGAGGGGGAGGGATTGGGCCTCTGGTAACCTCACTGTTACGGCGAAACACAACGTAAGTGTTGTTTTACGCTGATTGTCTGTGACGCCGTGGTTTCACTCCGGTCGAGCCGACCCATTCGTGCCGAAGCTTGGCCCTCCCATTTTCTTTAATTAGGTACTTCTTATTATAACTTTATAATTTGGTAATGGGCAGACCCATTACGAAATAATAAAAATACTTCATTTTTTTTTATGTAGTAGCTCGGCAAACGAGCAGACGGATTACCTGATGGTAAGCAATCAGCGCCGCCCATGGACACTCGCAACGGAGGAGTTACGAGTGCGTTGCCGACCTTTTAGGGATTAGGGATTTGGAGATTTAGGGATTGAGGAGGGATTGGGGAAGAGGAAGGATTGGGCCTCCGGTAACCTCACTCACACGGCGAAACACAACGCAGTGGTTATTTCACGCCTGTTTTCTGTGAGGCCGTGGTATCACTCCGGTCGAGCCGACCCATTCGTGCCGTTTATTACGTGTGTCGCGGGGCAAGCGCGATAAGGTACCGCAGTCTCGACCTGGAGCAGGAAAAAGAACGGGGGGTTTTATTCAGTAAGAGTGTGACACCGCGTATCGCCATACTCTGCCTGGGCGAGAGAATACATTTGGTGATTTTCCCATCACATTATTATGTAACAAAATTTATGTCTGTTGAGTGAGTGAAACTAAGTATGAGAGTGAATGAATAAGTGAGTGTGAGATTAAGTCATTGTGTGAGTGTGTTTTGTCAATTTAAGTCAAATGAAAATACACAGGAAGCCATCGGAATAATTTGTTATCTTTCAAAGGCTTTTGGCTGTGTTGAGCACGAGATTATTACTAAAACTAGAGCACTACTGCATTTGGAGTGGTATCTCCAGCTTTATTAAAGTCATACCGTCAGGAAAGACAACTTTAAGTTCAAGTTAACAAAGTTAACTCACGGGGTGCTAGCATATTAATAGGCGTGCCGCAGGGTTCAATATTAGATCCATTTCTATTTATGGTATATGTAAATGACCTACCCCATTGTTTCCAAATCGCATATGGTTTTATTCGCTGGTAATAAATTGACGAATTAAATAAACTAACGAACAAATAATTGAGACGCGAAGTTATTAAAGCTTAAATTGGTTTACAAAGAACAACTTAGTACTAAACGATAAAGAGACAAAATGCATACGATTTATTATGCCAAATGTTACTTTAAGTTACAAATATGAACAAATGTCAATACACAAACCCAGCAATATGGCAGTAATAAAGGCATTTAAAGATATTAAAGTTTAGTCGACTAATCTTTGGTGAATGTCTGAGTCTGTAGGTCTTTTATAGAGACCATAGCACCTTATTTAACTTTAATTTTTAATAAAAGTCTAGATTTTTAATGAAACATAGTAAAGTAGATCTATCGTTTAAATCTAGTAAGTCGTACAGAACCTAATAACTATAGCCCGGTCTCTATTTTTCCAGCGCTCAGCAAAGTGTTTGAAAGGTTTATGCTTACTCAAATGCTGCGTTGCTTTAACAATAATTCTATTTTCCATGACCAACAATACGGGTTCACCAAAGGCTGTTGCACTACGGACGCAGCAGTATCGCTTATAAGCAGGATTTCGCCTCGTGGGACAAAGTAAAGGATGCACTCGGAATATTTTGTGATCTTTCAAAGGCCTTTGGCTGCGTTGAGCACAAGATTTTCGTACTAAAGCTAGAACACTACAGAAATCGGGGCATATTTCTAGATTTATTGAAGGAAAGACAACCTTCCGGCTATAAAACTTAAAGTTCAAAACGACAAAGTTAACTCACAGGGTGCTAAATATTAATGGGCGTGCCGCAGGGCTCAATATTAGGTCCATTTCTTTTTAGGGATTGGTTGGGAAATTAAATGACTTGAAGTGATGATGATAATTGTTTCGTTGGCAGCCAGGAGAAGCGGCGGCTGTACAGCGAGGCGGAGGAGCTGTACCAGCGCGCGCTGCAGCTGCTGGGGCCGCGCGAGGCGTGCGGCGCCGCCGCCGTCTGGGAGCTGGTGGCCTGGGAGCTGTCCTGCCATCTGTACACGCGCGCCCTGCTCATGCAGGACTCCACCGACCACGCTTTTGTTAGTGCCCACACTTTCTGCTCACCATAGCTCACTCACTCACCCACTCACTCATTATTCGGCCGCCGTCTGGGAGCTGGTGGCCTGGGAGCTGTCCTGCCATCTGTACACGCGCGCCCTGCTCATGCAGGACTCCACCGACCACGCTTTTGTTAGTGCCCACACTTTCTGCTCACCATAGCTCACTCACTCACCCACTCACTCATTATTCGGCCGCCGTCTGGGAGCTGGTGGCCTGGGAGCTGTCCTGCCATCTGTACACGCGCGCCCTGCTCATGCAGGACTCCACCGACCACGCTTTTGTTAGTGCCCACACTTTCTGCTCACCATAGCTCACTCACTCACCCACTCACTCATTATTCGGCCGCCGTCTGGGAGCTGGTGGCCTGGGAGCTGTCCTGCCATCTGTACACGCGCGCCCTGCTCATGCAGGACTCCACCGACCACGCTTTTGTTAGTGCCCACACTTTCTGCTCACCATAGCTCACTCACTCACCCACTCACTCATTATTCGGCCGCCGTCTGGGAGCTGGTGGCCTGGGAGCTGTCCTGCCATCTGTACACGCGCGCCCTGCTCATGCAGGACTCCACCGACCACGCTTTTGTTAGTGCCCACACTTTCTGCTCACCATAGCTCACTCACTCACCCACTCACTCATTATTCGGCCGCCGTCTGGGAGCTGGTGGCCTGGGAGCTGTCCTGCCATCTGTACACGCGCGCCCTGCTCATGCAGGACTCCACCGACCACGCTTTTGTTAGTGCCCACACTTTCTGCTCACCATAGCTCACTCACTCACCCACTCACTCATTATTCGGCCGCCGTCTGGGAGCTGGTGGCCTGGGAGCTGTCCTGCCATCTGTACACGCGCGCCCTGCTCATGCAGGACTCCACCGACCACGCTTTTGTTAGTGCCCACACTTTCTGCTCACCATAGCTCACTCACTCACCCACTCACTCATTATTCGGCCGCCGTCTGGGAGCTGGTGGCCTGGGAGCTGTCCTGCCATCTGTACACGCGCGCCCTGCTCATGCAGGACTCCACCGACCACGCTTTTGTTAGTGCCCACACTTTCTGCTCACCATAGCTCACTCACTCACCCACTCACTCATTATTCGGCCGCCGTCTGGGAGCTGGTGGCCTGGGAGCTGTCCTGCCATCTGTACACGCGCGCCCTGCTCATGCAGGACTCCACCGACCACGCTTTTGTTAGTGCCCACACTTTCTGCTCACCATAGCTCACTCACTCACCCACTCACTCATTATTCGGCCGCCGTCTGGGAGCTGGTGGCCTGGGAGCTGTCCTGCCATCTGTACACGCGCGCCCTGCTCATGCAGGACTCCACCGACCACGCTTTTGTTAGTGCCCACACTTTCTGCTCACCATAGCTCACTCACTCACCCACTCACTCATTATTCGGCCGCCGTCTGGGAGCTGGTGGCCTGGGAGCTGTCCTGCCATCTGTACACGCGCGCCCTGCTCATGCAGGACTCCACCGACCACGCTTTTGTTAGTGCCCACACTTTCTGCTCACCATAGCTCACTCACTCACCCACTCACTCATTATTCGGCCGCCGTCTGGGAGCTGGTGGCCTGGGAGCTGTCCTGCCATCTGTACACGCGCGCCCTGCTCATGCAGGACTCCACCGACCACGCTTTTGTTAGTGCCCACACTTTCTGCTCACCATAGCTCACTCACTCACCCACTCACTCATTATTCGGCCGCCGTCTGGGAGCTGGTGGCCTGGGAGCTGTCCTGCCATCTGTACACGCGCGCCCTGCTCATGCAGGACTCCACCGACCACGCTTTTGTTAGTGCCCACACTTTCTGCTCACCATAGCTCACTCACTCACCCACTCACTCATTATTCGGCCGCCGTCTGGGAGCTGGTGGCCTGGGAGCTGTCCTGCCATCTGTACACGCGCGCCCTGCTCATGCAGGACTCCACCAACCACGCTTTTGTTAGTGCCCACACTTTCTGCTCACCATAGCTCACTCACTCACCCACTCACTCATTATTCGGCCGCCGTCTGGGAGCTGGTGGCCTGGGAGCTGTCCTGCCATCTGTACACGCGCGCCCTGCTCATGCAGGACTCCACCGACCACGCTTTTGTTAGTGCCCACACTTTCTGCTCACCATAGCTCACTCACTCACCCACTCACTCATTATTCGGCCGCCGTCTGGGAGCTGGTGGCCTGGGAGCTGTCCTGCCATCTGTACACGCGCGCCCTGCTCATGCAGGACTCCACCGACCACGCTTTTGTTAGTGCCCACACTTTCTGCTCACCATAGCTCACTCACTCACCCACTCACTCATTATTCGGCCGCCGTCTGGGAGCTGGTGGCCTGGGAGCTGTCCTGCCATCTGTACACGCGCGCCCTGCTCATGCAGGACTCCACCGACCACGCTTTTGTTAGTGCCCACACTTTCTGCTCACCATAGCTCACTCACTCACCCACTCACTCATTATTCGGCCGCCGTCTGGGAGCTGGTGGCCTGGGAGCTGTCCTGCCATCTGTACACGCGCGCCCTGCTCATGCAGGACTCCACCGACCACGCTTTTGTTAGTGCCCACACTTTCTGCTCACCATAGCTCACTCACTCACCCACTCACTCATTATTCGGCCGCCGTCTGGGAGCTGGTGGCCTGGGAGCTGTCCTGCCATCTGTACACGCGCGCCCTGCTCATGCAGGACTCCACCGACCACGCTTTTGTTAGTGCCCACACTTTCTGCTCACCATAGCTCACTCACTCACCCACTCACTCATTATTCGGCCGCCGTCTGGGAGCTGGTGGCCTGGGAGCTGTCCTGCCATCTGTACACGCGCGCCCTGCTCATGCAGGACTCCACCGACCACGCTTTTGTTAGTGCCCACACTTTCTGCTCACCATAGCTCACTCACTCACCCACTCACTCATTATTCGGCCGCCGTCTGGGAGCTGGTGGCCTGGGAGCTGTCCTGCCATCTGTACACGCGCGCCCTGCTCATGCAGGACTCCACCGACCACGCTTTTGTTAGTGCCCACACTTTCTGCTCACCATAGCTCACTCACTCACCCACTCACTCATTATTCGGCCGCCGTCTGGGAGCTGGTGGCCTGGGAGCTGTCCTGCCATCTGTACACGCGCGCCCTGCTCATGCAGGACTCCACCGACCACGCTTTTGTTAGTGCCCACACTTTCTGCTCACCATAGCTCACTCACTCACCCACTCACTCATTATTCGGCCGCCGTCTGGGAGCTGGTGGCCTGGGAGCTGTCCTGCCATCTGTACACGCGCGCCCTGCTCATGCAGGACTCCACCGACCACGCTTTTGTTAGTGCCCACACTTTCTGCTCACCATAGCTCACTCACTCACCCACTCACTCATTATTCGGCCGCCGTCTGGGAGCTGGTGGCCTGGGAGCTGTCCTGCCATCTGTACACGCGCGCCCTGCTCATGCAGGACTCCACCGACCACGCTTTTGTTAGTGCCCACACTTTCTGCTCACCATAGCTCACTCACTCACCCACTCACTCATTATTCGGCCGCCGTCTGGGAGCTGGTGGCCTGGGAGCTGTCCTGCCATCTGTACACGCGCGCCCTGCTCATGCAGGACTCCACCGACCACGCTTTTGTTAGTGCCCACACTTTCTGCTCACCATAGCTCACTCACTCACCCACTCACTCATTATTCGGCCGCCGTCTGGGAGCTGGTGGCCTGGGAGCTGTCCTGCCATCTGTACACGCGCGCCCTGCTCATGCAGGACTCCACCGACCACGCTTTTGTTAGTGCCCACACTTTCTGCTCACCATAGCTCACTCACTCACCCACTCACTCATTATTCGGCCGCCGTCTGGGAGCTGGTGGCCTGGGAGCTGTCCTGCCATCTGTACACGCGCGCCCTGCTCATGCAGGACTCCACCGACCACGCTTTTGTTAGTGCCCACACTTTCTGCTCACCATAGCTCACTCACTCACCCACTCACTCATTATTCGGCCGCCGTCTGGGAGCTGGTGGCCTGGGAGCTGTCCTGCCATCTGTACACGCGCGCCCTGCTCATGCAGGACTCCACCGACCACGCTTTTGTTAGTGCCCACACTTTCTGCTCACCATAGCTCACTCACTCACCCACTCACTCATTATTCGGCCGCCGTCTGGGAGCTGGTGGCCTGGGAGCTGTCCTGCCATCTGTACACGCGCGCCCTGCTCATGCAGGACTCCACCGACCACGCTTTTGTTAGTGCCCACACTTTCTGCTCACCATAGCTCACTCACTCACCCACTCACTCATTATTCGGCCGCCGTCTGGGAGCTGGTGGCCTGGGAGCTGTCCTGCCATCTGTACACGCGCGCCCTGCTCATGCAGGACTCCACCGACCACGCTTTTGTTAGTGCCCACACTTTCTGCTCACCATAGCTCACTCACTCACCCACTCACTCATTATTCGGCCGCCGTCTGGGAGCTGGTGGCCTGGGAGCTGTCCTGCCATCTGTACACGCGCGCCCTGCTCATGCAGGACTCCACCGACCACGCTTTTGTTAGTGCCCACACTTTCTGCTCACCATAGCTCACTCACTCACCCACTCACTCATTATTCGGCCGCCGTCTGGGAGCTGGTGGCCTGGGAGCTGTCCTGCCATCTGTACACGCGCGCCCTGCTCATGCAGGACTCCACCGACCACGCTTTTGTTAGTGCCCACACTTTCTGCTCACCATAGCTCACTCACTCACCCACTCACTCATTATTCGGCCGCCGTCTGGGAGCTGGTGGCCTGGGAGCTGTCCTGCCATCTGTACACGCGCGCCCTGCTCATGCAGGACTCCACCGACCACGCTTTTGTTAGTGCCCACACTTTCTGCTCACCATAGCTCACTCACTCACCCACTCACTCATTATTCGGCCGCCGTCTGGGAGCTGGTGGCCTGGGAGCTGTCCTGCCATCTGTACACGCGCGCCCTGCTCATGCAGGACTCCACCGACCACGCTTTTGTTAGTGCCCACACTTTCTGCTCACCATAGCTCACTCACTCACCCACTCACTCATTATTCGGCCGCCGTCTGGGAGCTGGTGGCCTGGGAGCTGTCCTGCCATCTGTACACGCGCGCCCTGCTCATGCAGGACTCCACCGACCACGCTTTTGTTAGTGCCCACACTTTCTGCTCACCATAGCTCACTCACTCACCCACTCACTCATTATTCGGCCGCCGTCTGGGAGCTGGTGGCCTGGGAGCTGTCCTGCCATCTGTACACGCGCGCCCTGCTCATGCAGGACTCCACCGACCACGCTTTTGTTAGTGCCCACACTTTCTGCTCACCATAGCTCACTCACTCACCCACTCACTCATTATTCGGCCGCCGTCTGGGAGCTGGTGGCCTGGGAGCTGTCCTGCCATCTGTACACGCGCGCCCTGCTCATGCAGGACTCCACCGACCACGCTTTTGTTAGTGCCCACACTTTCTGCTCACCATAGCTCACTCACTCACCCACTCACTCATTATTCGGCCGCCGTCTGGGAGCTGGTGGCCTGGGAGCTGTCCTGCCATCTGTACACGCGCGCCCTGCTCATGCAGGACTCCACCGACCACGCTTTTGTTAGTGCCCACACTTTCTGCTCACCATAGCTCACTCACTCACCCACTCACTCATTATTCGGCCGCCGTCTGGGAGCTGGTGGCCTGGGAGCTGTCCTGCCATCTGTACACGCGCGCCCTGCTCATGCAGGACTCCACCGACCACGCTTTTGTTAGTGCCCACACTTTCTGCTCACCATAGCTCACTCACTCACCCACTCACTCATTATTCGGCCGCCGTCTGGGAGCTGGTGGCCTGGGAGCTGTCCTGCCATCTGTACACGCGCGCCCTGCTCATGCAGGACTCCACCGACCACGCTTTTGTTAGTGCCCACACTTTCTGCTCACCATAGCTCACTCACTCACCCACTCACTCATTATTCGGCCGCCGTCTGGGAGCTGGTGGCCTGGGAGCTGTCCTGCCATCTGTACACGCGCGCCCTGCTCATGCAGGACTCCACCGACCACGCTTTTGTTAGTGCCCACACTTTCTGCTCACCATAGCTCACTCACTCACCCACTCACTCATTATTCGGCCGCCGTCTGGGAGCTGGTGGCCTGGGAGCTGTCCTGCCATCTGTACACGCGCGCCCTGCTCATGCAGGACTCCACCGACCACGCTTTTGTTAGTGCCCACACTTTCTGCTCACCATAGCTCACTCACTCACCCACTCACTCATTATTCGGCCGCCGTCTGGGAGCTGGTGGCCTGGGAGCTGTCCTGCCATCTGTACACGCGCGCCCTGCTCATGCAGGACTCCACCGACCACGCTTTTGTTAGTGCCCACACTTTCTGCTCACCATAGCTCACTCACTCACCCACTCACTCATTATTCGGCCGCCGTCTGGGAGCTGGTGGCCTGGGAGCTGTCCTGCCATCTGTACACGCGCGCCCTGCTCATGCAGGACTCCACCGACCACGCTTTTGTTAGTGCCCACACTTTCTGCTCACCATAGCTCACTCACTCACCCACACACTCATTATTCGGCCGCCGTCTGGGAGCTGGTGGCCTGGGAGCTGTCCTGCCATCTGTACACGCGCGCCCTGCTCATGCAGGACTCCACCGACCACGCTTTTGTTAGTGCCCACACTTTCTGCTCACCATAGCTCACTCACTCACCCACTCACTCATTATTCGGCCGCCGTCTGGGAGCTGGTGGCCTGGGAGCTGTCCTGCCATCTGTACACGCGCGCCCTGCTCATGCAGGACTCCACCGACCACGCTTTTGTTAGTGCCCACACTTTCTGCTCACCATAGCTCACTCACTCACCCACTCACTCATTATTCGGCCGCCGTCTGGGAGCTGGTGGCCTGGGAGCTGTCCTGCCATCTGTACACGCGCGCCCTGCTCATGCAGGACTCCACCGACCACGCTTTTGTTAGTGCCCACACTTTCTGCTCACCATAGCTCACTCACTCACCCACTCACTCATTATTCGGCCGCCGTCTGGGAGCTGGTGGCCTGGGAGCTGTCCTGCCATCTGTACACGCGCGCCCTGCTCATGCAGGACTCCACCGACCACGCTTTTGTTAGTGCCCACACTTTCTGCTCACCATAGCTCACTCACTCACCCACTCACTCATTATTCGGCCGCCGTCTGGGAGCTGGTGGCCTGGGAGCTGTCCTGCCATCTGTACACGCGCGCCCTGCTCATGCAGGACTCCACCGACCACGCTTTTGTTAGTGCCCACACTTTCTGCTCACCATAGCTCACTCACTCACCCACTCACTCATTATTCGGCCGCCGTCTGGGAGCTGGTGGCCTGGGAGCTGTCCTGCCATCTGTACACGCGCGCCCTGCTCATGCAGGACTCCACCGACCACGCTTTTGTTAGTGCCCACACTTTCTGCTCACCATAGCTCACTCACTCACCCACTCACTCATTATTCGGCCGCCGTCTGGGAGCTGGTGGCCTGGGAGCTGTCCTGCCATCTGTACACGCGCGCCCTGCTCATGCAGGACTCCACCGACCACGCTTTTGTTAGTGCCCACACTTTCTGCTCACCATAGCTCACTCACTCACCCACTCACTCATTATTCGGCCGCCGTCTGGGAGCTGGTGGCCTGGGAGCTGTCCTGCCATCTGTACACGCGCGCCCTGCTCATGCAGGACTCCACCGACCACGCTTTTGTTAGTGCCCACACTTTCTGCTCACCATAGCTCACTCACTCACCCACTCACTCATTATTCGGCCGCCGTCTGGGAGCTGGTGGCCTGGGAGCTGTCCTGCCATCTGTACACGCGCGCCCTGCTCATGCAGGACTCCACCGACCACGCTTTTGTTAGTGCCCACACTTTCTGCTCACCATAGCTCACTCACTCACCCACTCACTCATTATTCGGCCGCCGTCTGGGAGCTGGTGGCCTGGGAGCTGTCCTGCCATCTGTACACGCGCGCCCTGCTCATGCAGGACTCCACCGACCACGCTTTTGTTAGTGCCCACACTTTCTGCTCACCATAGCTCACTCACTCACCCACTCACTCATTATTCGGCCGCCGTCTGGGAGCTGGTGGCCTGGGAGCTGTCCTGCCATCTGTACACGCGCGCCCTGCTCATGCAGGACTCCACCGACCACGCTTTTGTTAGTGCCCACACTTTCTGCTCACCATAGCTCACTCACTCACCCACTCACTCATTATTCGGCCGCCGTCTGGGAGCTGGTGGCCTGGGAGCTGTCCTGCCATCTGTACACGCGCGCCCTGCTCATGCAGGACTCCACCGACCACGCTTTTGTTAGTGCCCACACTTTCTGCTCACCATAGCTCACTCACTCACCCACTCACTCATTATTCGGCCGCCGTCTGGGAGCTGGTGGCCTGGGAGCTGTCCTGCCATCTGTACACGCGCGCCCTGCTCATGCAGGACTCCACCGACCACGCTTTTGTTAGTGCCCACACTTTCTGCTCACCATATCTCACTCACTCACCCACTCACTCATTATTCGGCCGCCGTCTGGGAGCTGGTGGCCTGGGAGCTGTCCTGCCATCTGTACACGCGCGCCCTGCTCATGCAGGACTCCACCGACCACGCTTTTGTTAGTGCCCACACTTTCTGCTCACCATAGCTCACTCACTCACCCACTCACTCATTATTCGGCCGCCGTCTGGGAGCTGGTGGCCTGGGAGCTGTCCTGCCATCTGTACACGCGCGCCCTGCTCATGCAGGACTCCACCGACCACGCTTTTGTTAGTGCCCACACTTTCTGCTCACCATATCTCACTCACTCACCCACTCACTCATTATTCGGCCGCCGTCTGGGAGCTGGTGGCCTGGGAGCTGTCCTGCCATCTGTACACGCGCGCCCTGCTCATGCAGGACTCCACCGACCACGCTTTTGTTAGTGCCCACACTTTCTGCTCACCATAGCTCACTCACTTACCCACTCACTCATTATTATCTGAATCACCCATCATTTTCCTACTCATCCACCCCTTCCTACCCTCTCTATCACCCACACTCACTCACAATGAGAATGAAATGTCTACTAAACCTGCTTTGTTTTGAAAGTATAAGTTGTATCTAACTATAAATATGTTGACTGAATGCAGGAAGTATCAGAAGTAGCGGATGCCCTGAAGCACGCGCTGAAGCACTGCCTGCTGAGCCCGGGCCCGCGCCAGTACTTGTACCAGTTCCGCGCCGCTATGATATACCACCGACTCGGCTCCTTGTACCATTCCCAGTATCGGTGAGTTGTTGTTTGTTTGTTTGTATTGTAAGTGATGTTAATTAAAGATACAATTGTCTCCCCGGATAATTAATTTGTTGAAATGTATAAAAACATTTTTTTTATGAATTTGGTATGATATTATAAGTCTTGACTTGATTTTGTTCTTCAAATAGTGAACATATGTCTACAAATTTATAACTTGTGTCAGAAAGAGACCTTTTGATAATTAATGCATTAGAATCGAATTACGTTTTGTATCTATAGTTCACGAATTGATAGTGGAGTAATAGTATAGATTTTGTTATAATTTTATTTTACTGCCTTAATGTGTATGTAACATCTGTCTGTTTCCCAAAGAACAATAAACTAAAAATAATAAGTATGTGTGCAGCATAACGTCGGAGGAAGGTCCCCGTCGTCGCGCGCTGTTCGTGTCGTGTCGCAGCCACTACGAGCAGGCGAGCAACATGTTCGCGGCGCTGGAGGACGCCGCCATGTTCCTCACCGTACAGCTCGAACATGTCGCGCTACTCGAGGCACAGGCCGCATGTAACTACCATACTCATTTATTTCACTTAATCATTATTTTTCACGTATTCATATTTTAATTTATAATTCTGAACTTACCCATTCACTCAATCACTTACTCAGTCGCTCCTTCAATCACTCACTCACTCACTTACCCACTCACGGAATCACTAACTCGGTCACTCAGTCTCTCACTCAATCACACGCTCACTCGCTCACTCAATCACTCACTTACATACTCACTCACTAACTAACCCACTCACTCACTCTCTTACTCCATCACTCGCTCACTTATTATTTTATTCATGCCGTCTCTCACTCACTTACTCAATCACTCACCGAGTCACTTATTCACATACTCACTCACTTATATACTCACCCACTCTTTCATTCATACACTCATTCACTTACTCAATACCGCACTCACGCACTCACTTACTCACACACTTACTTACTTACCAACTCACTCACTCACTGAATTAGTCACCTAAATTTCTCACTCGTTTGCCAGTACATACACCAACACAACAACTAATCGCTCTTATATTCTTTACAGTATCACCAAACCTGAAACTCAAATCTCTTCAGTCGGCAGTCCAACTACTCCGTCAGTCGCACTCTATAATGAAAGTTTTGAAAGAGAAGGACCCAGAAGAGAAGGAGAAAGTAGAAGAAGCAGATGACAAAGGAATGAAGAGTGAACACAGTCTTCTGTCACTATATGAGTGTAGACTGCACTATATACTTAAAAGTATTATACAGTACTGTCTCTCAAAATCTAACAAGGATTACGAAAAAATGAGAGATACGTACAAGAAATTGTACTCAGCTAGTCTTCGAATTAAAAAAGACAATGATATAAGGATTTTTGCGTCTAGCATTTGTGACGTTCTAGCCAATATGGATGAAATAAGTAAACTTTTTTAATTTATGTTGTAAGTTTTATGAAAATGAATCTTGTGGTGCGAGTTGTATGGTTGATTTTCATTTGTACTGCGGTATGAGGGCTTAGATTTGGCTTTCTGTGTTTACATTGGTTGTCAATCTGTTCTTTAATATCGAAGTATGAGTAATATTCTATAGTAAGAATTTTAATATCCGTCAGTGGTTAGGTATTTAAAGAACTTAGGGATGATTTTTCAATAGTTAGATAAAAGTTACCTAGGGAATAATTATGATGCTGTCGCGTCAGAATGTTTGTATAAGACAGTGACAGCAACAATTTTATTCCTCAAATAACAATTATCTGACTATTGAACAATCAGTCCTAAAACGAAAGCTTTACTCTTCTACTCACGCTAGGAAGTATAACTAAATATTTTCTCGCGGCTTGCTTAAATTTTATGAATCACTATTTCGTTTTAAACTTACGTTCTTGTAAGGGCGCCTCCGCGAATAGTGACTTCCTGCAGATTTTTGGTATAAAAACTTTCCTATGTCCTTTCTCGAGTTCCAAACTATGTCTGTACCAAATTTCTCAGAAATCAGTTCAGTAGTTTAGGCGTGAAGAAAAGACAGACAGACAGACTAACTTTCGCATTTATAATATTAGTATAGATTTTGCGCTTGTAGTTACAATATGTGAGCGGAGATAATGAGTGATATTTAAAACCAGTGTAAACAATAACATATAATATGGCAAAGTACCTATGGGTGTTATAACAATGTATGCTTCTGTCTACCCGTATATAGGTTAAAAAGCGTAATATTATGCTAACAAGTGATATATAGTATAAACTTGCTTTTTACGTAGTCCTTATATAAGAAAATTTTAACTATATGTGTAATACGCGGACAGATATCATCAGTAAGTAATTGCTCACAAAATTAATTCGACTAAGGGCTGATTTTTCAACAGCTAGATAAATGTTATCTGAGGATTAAAATTGTTGCTTTCACTGTCTTATACAAACATTCTGACGCGACAGCATCATTATTATTCCCCAGGTAACTTATATCTAACCATTGAAAAATCAGCCCTAAATATTATCTTGATAATGTTTAAAACTGTTTTTTTAAAGAGATCTCATTTTTATGTGGGGTTCATCAGGTAATGCATTTGCTCGTTTGCCGACTTATACCATAAAAAAAAAGGATACCAAATTTCAACCAAATCGGTACAGCCGTTTTGGTGTGAAAGAATAACAAACATACATCTAGGTATATATATGTATACTCACAAACTTTTTTATTTTTAATATTGGTAGGTAATTTATCCTTTTAATGACGGATGGAGAAACCTCTCAAAAGCAATATAAGTATGTGACTTAGTTGAACCAAGTGTTTTGAATTTGATTTCTTAATACATGTGTGAGAGAGCTTTGTTTTGGCACCAAGCGACGACTTCACTGGTCTTCCTAAACATGATTGTTAATCGTAGTTGGCCTTATCCAATCCCCCACAACCCATAAAAGGCAGCCAACCCGCCTTCAATGGTTCCGTAGGCTCGTTCTCCGACAAGTCTCTTAAAAATAGTTTGAACGCAAGATGTAAACATATTTTTCTTTGGGCTGATTTTTCAATGGTTAGATAAAAGTATGATGCTGTCGCGTCAGAATGTTTGTATAAGACAGTGACAGCAACAATTTTATTCCTCAAATAACATTTATCTGACTATTGAAAAGTCAGCCCTTAATAATATAAAATGTACCATTGTAACTGTATATTTAGTTCGTACTATGTAGTTAGGAGTAAAAGATTCTGTGCTTGTCTCGAATGTATGTAAGGAGTGTAAGACTGATCAGTTACTATGATTTTTTTGTCAAATACAGTATTTGTATGTTAACTTGTGTTTTATTTCTAAACTTAATGATAATGTATAAACAACGTTCGTTTTGCCATATGAATTATTTTTTTAAAATGTTAAAGGTGTATAAGGGTGTACGAAACCATACGACGACGGTGGTTTTGGTCTTGGAGAAATGAAAGAATGTCTCGCGCTCCCGAATAACTGTATTAATTTTAAATGTACAAGTTATCGTGCTAACAATCACTAACTAATTCTCACAAAAATATTAAAATCATAAAACACCTATACTTTCCTATGTAACGAAACCATAACGCGATCTATTTCGATCCCAACGCCATCTAGGGTAGCAAAACTTAAACTTTTAATCAACCGACCTTTCGGATCGCGCTACGGTTCCACTTAGCACCGTAAACGAACGGTATGAAAAATAGCCAGTAGCAGATTCTCAGAGCTACTGAATATGAATATACATTGTTAGTGGGGGTAGATTTGTTTTTACTTTATTACCGTTACTTTAAAAAGAAAGTATATTCTGCCACAGATTACTAAATAGTTTCTACGCAATTTAACGCCGAATGATGGTGTCCTTTTTAATTTTAAGCTCACAAGATGTAGCGATGTAGGTAAGCAAGCAAGCAATTGCTACTTACAGAAATTTTGGGACTATTGATCAAAATACCCAACTGGTTATGACAGTCCTCTCGTGATTTTAACATTGAGGCACTGCCTATAGCATTAGCTTAAAGATGTGTGAGCATGATGAAAAACCCATGCTGTTGATTAATTCCGGCAGCTTTTTCTTAAGTTCCTGCTTTAAACACAAAGTCACAGCATCACCTTGTTACGAGTTAACCCGGGCTTCGCTACAGTCTGTGAAGCCGGACCGGCCTTTGAGCACGCACGCTCTGGTCTTTTGTGATCCACTTTCCATAACCATTAACAGCTTCTTCAAAAATGATTCGGTTTTATTATGTCATAATAAAGAATCACTAATCAGTACCTACACGATTCATTAGGTTTTTTTCAGACAGCTCGTGAGGTACTCACTCTCAAATTTGTAATAGTCAACTTTTTTCCAATTTTTCCCAGTTCTTCAGCTACGTCGTAATTACGCATATGCTGATCTTCTTTAATCTCTGACACCCTGATCCCTAAAATGCAGGCCACGCACTCGTTACGTTTACCGACCTATCACATCAAAAATATTGAAACTTTACATTTATAAAAAATATTAATAGCAAACTATCCCGTTAAATTTGATTGGTATAGTCATTTATAACCACGTCAAAACCTCCAACGTGGATGTCCAAGATAAACAATAATTAAGATCTTAAGATATAGTAATTAAAACGTTATCGCTATGTGAAACATGAATTTAGATAATTAAGTAAGTAAGTATATCATTCAGTAAATATTTTTATTGATTTCCTGAAAGAATAATAATAATTGTCAATGAGGTGTGAAAGTCTTGGCCATAAAATGTTTACAGCTATAGATTTTTCAAACGCCTGACACTAAGATTTTCCCTACTAGTTTGTGTCAAAAAGCTTTACCGAGCTGTTTATGAAATTGTATTTTTTTATGTAATAGACCGGCAAACGAGCAGTCGGATTACCTGATGGTAAGCAATTAGCGCCGCCCATGGACACCCGCAACGGAGGAGTTACGAGTGCGTGGCCAACCTCTTAGGGATTAGTGTATTGGAGATTAGGGATTGAGTAGGAATTGGGGTCGGGGAAGGATTGGGCCTCCGGTAACCTCACTCACACGGCGAAACACAATACTGGTTGTTTCACGCCGGTTTTCTGTGAGGCTGTGCTATCACTCCGGTCCAGCCTAAGCATGGTTCTCCCACACTTCCGTATTCTGAATGAAATCAACAATCAAAAATGAACTTCAATTTGATCCAGTTTAACAAGCTACCATACATTGAGATACAAGTCTTGTGTTAAGTACAAAAAAAACTCCTTGGTTTTATCCGCATCCAGCAGTGTTATTGGAATTTTGCCTTAGCCAGGCAGTCAACCGGCAGAATTGATTTGATCTCTACCGCTTTCCTTCACCATGGTCTGATAGTTTCTTCCAAACCAATTAGGTGGATTTATGCTTTGCAATTGTAGTTCACAACGATACGCATCTCGTAAAAAGCCGCCTCGTTCAGCAATATGAAACGAATGGTGTTCTACGGTCCAGGCCTGACGCTGGAGACGGGACGAGGCGTTGTTGTCTTCTCTAGCCCAGGTTATGGCAAGAGGGAGTGTCAGACTCTTACTGACTTAAAACCCCTTTGTTCGTTCTCCTGCATCAGGCCGAGGTTGCGGTTACTTATGGCGCTTGCCCCGCAACCCCGACTGAACATCAACCCTATAGGGCCCCCTCTGTAGTGGTCTCTACGATTTTTGGGACGCGATAGACGGGCTGTGAGCTACCCTTGCTCGCCGTCTGAAGACCAGAAGTCGTCTGAAGACCCGTGATGGATAAGGGGTATGAGGTTTCAGTTACTTCAGCACCAAAAAAGGCCCTCTGTGTACACATACCACTTCACAGAAGCCACGCTTAAACTTCCACGTCGATATTTGTATAACAAAGATTATTTATTTTACTTATCACTTATATAGATGTTGAGATTTTATCACCGAATTGACACGGGATTTTAGGCTTTGTACAAATAGACAATTGCATAATAAGTTGTAATAATCTTTTGTTTCCAGAAGATGAGAGGTTGTTTTAGTACCTTGGGCGTAGGTAGCAACGTGATAGCTTGCACTTTGCTGAAAAGAGAGAAAATAATAGAGTAGCTTTTTTATATAGTTCAAATAATTCTTTGTAAATCTCGTCAGATGTTTTTAGCCAGGATCTCGGATCATTCTTCACTGAGGACTACCTAAAGGGGACACATTTTATACTTGAAGAAAGCTTAAAACACCGATCAGACGGCAGGATTTATCGTGCCCGAAGCCCCTAAGTTAGCTGCAAACATATTTTGCCTCGTCGATCTATTGATCGCAAATACGAGTGTCAAGCAAAGAGCGTCTCGTTCAATACTTCTGGCAAATTATTAGTTAGATTCTTTCAGATTGTTGGAAATTTCTCATTATTAGCACTGAGTCTGGCGCGGTATAGGTATGGTAACAGGCGAGTTGTAACAAAGCTGGTGAGAAATGAGACTTTGTTTCGAAAATAGACATAAAAATCC